GGGCTTTGGTCGAGGTTGAGTGGGTATTTTTGCACGGTGGATGCAGTCCCAGGACATTATGCAGTCCTCTGTACCACTGTCTAAGAGTGCGTTGACTGTTGCGACATGTTTGGTGCTAGTTGCGGGGTGGTCCCAAGAGATTTCGATCTCGAGACGAGTTTCTTGTGTGTTGGAAGACATGTTTGTATGTTGGTCTGATAAAGGGTTTGTATTGGTTCTGGGTGTGGTCTTCGATGGTTTTTTCTTCGTTGAGCGCGGGGTGAGGGGGTTTATATAAAGAGTTCGAGTGTTTAATGAAGATCATGGTACAACACTTACGCACCAGGCGTTTCGGGGTGTAACCCCATCCTCAGAGTGTGTGTAAAGAGAATTGAATTTCCGCGCGTATAACAAAACAAATATAGAAAATCTCGTGGCCAACCCATAAAAATAACCGTAATACATAAAACCCTTGTTTCCATAACCCAAAGTGGAAAGAAACCCGTAACGCAACATGAGATACCGAAAAAATAGAAATACCCAATCAATTTTGATCCTCCAAAGTTGTAATCCTTGCCCTAAATGCCTCATTCTGGGGGCCCAATTTCCGCTTCTTTTCACCCTCCCTTCCGTGGTCCTTTCCTCCGGAAGGATACCGTTTCCTCTTCAGGTCGGTTATCCTGACCTTACTCGTCGCCACGCAATCTTTCGCGAAGTGGTTATCTGTACCACAACGGAAACACTTTCCTTCCTTTTGCCACTTCTCTTTTTCGTCCTTGGTGACACCTAAGTCATCCGAGGCCTTTGAGTTGTGTGTTGGCGCGGAGAAAGTTTTCCGAGGTGCGGGGTTGCGCGATTTTCGCCGTTCCGACCTCTCCTCACGAGGTTTCACGACATCCTTGCCACGTAAGATTTCTTTCCGGGCCTTCACCTCGTGATCCTTACGTCCGACCTTCCTAACCCATGCCAGCCATTCCGCGAAATCTTCTGGTTCCTCGATTGCATTTGAGAGGCGTTGTTCCAGCGAGGAGTTTATTCCTGTTAGGATCATGGATTTCATTACGATGGGTCCGACCTTCGCGTCCCATTCCAGATTCTGCATCTCGTTGATGTAGTCATCAATCATGCCAGTTTGACGGAGCTTATCCATCTTCTGCTTGGCTTGTTCTTGACTTGTTCGATTGCCATACTGAATCCGTAATTCGTTTTTGAAATTCTCCCAGTTTCCGATGCTGGGGTCTACCGATAGTCGTTCCACGAAGTTTCGCCAGAATTTTGCCGCACTCCCGGTAAGTTCCAGGGAAGCCCACAGGATTTTGGTTTGGTCGTCCCACCGGACTTTCCTTTGAAGTTCAATTAAGACTTCCATTTGGTCGATCCAGTGTCGCACGTCTTCGTCGGCTTTACCAGAGAAGGGGATTTTTGCCTGTTTTGGCGTATCTCCCAGGGTGGCGCGAGGGGGGTGCATGAGATCTACCTCCTGCTGCCTATTACGGCGTCTTCGCTCCTCCCGTCTTCTCTGCCTTCGTTCGCGTGCTCGACGATCGTCCTCTGAATCGGAGGAGCTGGATGAGTCTGAGGGGGATGGGTCTCGTGGTCTTGCGCGGTTTCCGCCGTTGCCGTTATTGCCATTGCCTCCCCTGCCTCTTTGCTCACTTTGCTGGCTTCTTGCCTCGGAGCGAGGGGGTACGGGGGGTTGGCTCCCTGATCCTTCCGGTCTCTCTCCGGAATTGCTAGGGGGGTTCTGTGGAGGTTGGGGGGGTACTACGCCTCTGCCTCCTGAGCCTTCGGGGGCTGCTGCCGTCCTATTGGCTGCTACCCGCATTTGCTCAATAATCTCCTCCAGGTTCTTCTTCGTACCTGCGAACTGGTCTTCCATCGCAGCTTGTCTGTCCCGTTCCATCCTTTCGAGGGCAGCCATAACCTCCGCGGGTATCTGCACAGGGCCATCTTTCGGGAGTTGCTGAACGAAGTTGGTCAGCGCATTTATATGCTGATCCTGCCGTTCTTGCCTTTCCTGATGCGCCCTAGTAGCTTCCACGATCTGCCCAAGGACTTGGCCGAGGTTGCTGGTAGCGGCGGTGGATTCTGCTCGTAGCTGGGCCATGACCTGGTTGAGCTGATTGTCGCGTTCGGCTCTGTCCCCAGCGAACTTGGCGTGGAGGTCCTCGACAATCTTGTTGGTATACTCCTGCTGCTGCCGGGTGAGTTCCCTGAGTATGGGGATATCCTGCACGTGCATGCTGAGTTCCTCGATCTCGCGGCTGAGCCGTTGTACCACGGGGGCCCCTTGTCGCTGGACTTCTTGCCCAATAAGGTCGCCAAAAGGGTTCTCCACCCGCCGTTCCTCTACGTCCATGTTGGTATCCTCGTCGTCGTCCATTACCCGAGGCACCGAGGGCCTCTGAGTAGAGGATCTCTCTCTGATTGGGGTGACGTATGGGGAGAACTCCCGGTGGTCTACCTGCCGCCTCCTCGCCTGCCCATAGGAAACTTCCTGCCTCGTCGATGTGAAGAGGTAGCCTATCGGCACATCTCTCTCTTTCCTGTGGCGCCTCTTCGCCTGGGTTTCCAATATACCTCGATCTCTCAAGGCGATTGAGCTCTCCATGTTGTAGTCTTCCTCCGACCGTTGCTGATGAGCCCTTGACATTGCTAAGTTGCTCGAGTTTGAGCTGTGGTTGCCTTATGCACCAAGGTTGAGCAATGAACCAGGGGGCCGGGTGAGCAAGTCCGAAAGATCGTTGGGAGAGAGTGATCTTGATCTGGAAGAGTTCTGGGTAGTTGAGGATTTCGGGGTCGTGTTCTTCGAAAGTAGCGGTAGTTCCTGCTTCTGCGAAGAAACCTGAGTAGTGAAGGTATCCGCAGTATAGATGTTCGGCGCTTCCTCTTCGAACGATGAAGGATGTAGCGCAAAGGTAGTTATTGATGGCTGCGGTTGCTGCTCGGGGGTGCATATAGTACTTTGGTCTTTCTAATAGACTAAGCGCTTATTCTTCTACTGAGAGCACGGTGACTATCCGCCACTAAGCAAAATACTCAGAGTATTGGTTTAAGCGAGTAGCTGTCTTATCGAGACTTCTGGTAGTGTATGCGATAGGTAAAGAGTAAAAGCTAGGGATAAGGTACAATATAGTGTTTGATTATTTATGCTTTTTACAGTGAGACTATTTGATGCCTCTACCCACATCAAAAAAGTGCAAAAGCGTTTAACAAAATAACTCCTGATCTTTGTTCTTAAAGTTCTCTTAGGTCCTCGGTGATTCCAATAGTGTATGATGATAGCAGCAAATCTACATCGCACTATGAATACCCCCGTGCTGACTTTTCATCATCTTCGGCTACCTCGTTACAATACCCTTACTCGGTTGGCCATTCAGGCTTGTTCCTTTCACGTGATATTGTCGACCGGATTGCACCCGACTGATGGTTGATGATACCCTCAAGTCTTCGGAGAATCAAGCCCTATTTATACATGTTGGAAACCTATGCTAAGGCCCGCTTTCTAACACTAACTGATACAACGATAATAGAATAAGATAACGCTCCCGAAGATAACCCAGATAGAAAAGCGCCCCCGCATAGTCCCGTCCTCCATTCTAATTCCGATACGTAACCTTGAACCTTGCAACTGCCAGTCATCGGGCTGTACCATATTATTATCCTAGACCTACTTCCCTAAGTAGAACAGCCTACAGCCGTAAGCCCCGCTTCCTATTCTATTCCGGGTGAGACACCCAATAGTAAGCGTGCCGTCATAATAGTATAACACTAGTGTGGTAACACCGCGTGCCCCCACACTACCCGATACCTTTCTATGCTTGTCCTTTCGTTACCCGACCGTCCTCGCATCACAACCCGTCACTCGTATTCCTCACTGTCTCAAGTCTTTAGAACAGTGTTCCGTAATTCCTATAACACAAGCATCGCTCAAAACTGACTCAATTACCTTTGGATGCAACACCTCTTCATCTCTTATTTCCGCAAGTCTTCTAGCCTCCTCTTGCTGCCTGACAATGTCATGCCGGCGTTGTGCCTTCTCCATTGCAATCTCCATTGTGTTTATGGTTTTCTTAAGTCTTTTAACCTTGCTAGTCGATGGCTCCTCCAACCCATGCTTCCGACTCAAATGCTGTGCAGGATGCTTGGTACCATGTGCATGTAAGTATTTTGTTTCGCATCTAGTACACTGCTAGTACCTATATACCGCATGAATTAGATCATATTCATCTAAAAAGACAAGAGTATATCACTTACTGCACTCCCGCTACCTCAACCTTGACACCATGAGTCTCTGTATCAGTCCCCCAAACCCACGGGGTTTGCATTGCAGCCCTCCGCTTTCTTGCAGGTGGTGGCGCTTCCTCAACCGCCGTCGCCTTCTTTTCATTCTCAGATACAAAAAGCTCGTTGCCAGGATCCTCGTTGGTATCCATTGTTGGTTGAGGTGGGAGAAAAAAGTGCAGAGGTGAAGAAATCAATCGGGTGTTGAAGGGTTTTCTTCACTTGTCATGTGTCAACCGCTGAATCCCCACCCACCCAAGACCTAGCCCGGGCATCCCTTTCAGGCCCGGGTCCGAACATGTGTGAAGACTAGCCAGGCCTGACTGGAGGAATCAACGGCCTGGCATGGCCCGATCAAAAAGGCCCGGGCAGCCCATCTCAAAGCCAGGCCCGTTGGCGTCCCTGGTTCTGTCAGATGCAAAGGTCACCGTATTCATTACAGCATACGAACCGGGGGACCTTTTGACTGGTAGAGGTCCGGCGTGGAGCAGGAAATAATACTATAATTGAGGCACGTCCTCTGAAAACCTTTTCCTGGAGTAATCTCTGTTCTATAAGAAATGCTTGTCATTTCTGAACCTAAGATACAACAGAATTACCGAGGTAAAAACCACCTTATGCCCAACCCACCCAGCAGCAATACACTCTCTACCCAACTCAACCCGCCCATCCTTTACCTGGGTATGCCCAATCCTCCAGCCAGCCATTGGGGGACCTGCTCTTGGTGAAACGGATAGTTACCCCATATACACCAGGCTCCAGCAGCCCAGGTCGACCGACTCATCCGCTATTGTCCGCTCCGTCCCCGCCCTCACCCTCTCTGTCTCAACCTTCAGCCTCTCTGTCTCAGCCTTCAACCTCTCTGTCTCAGCATCGATCCGCATCTTTTCAATCATGGCCTCCGCCTTTACCCTCTCTGTCTCCGCCACTGCCCACTCAACCTCCTTCGTGGCCTTCTCAACCTCCACCTCCGCCTCCACCCTCACATTCTCAGTCTCCGCCTTTACCCTCTCAGTCTCTTCCTTCCGCCTCTCCATCTCAGCATCAATCTTCATCTTTTCAATCATCGCTTCCGTCTTCAGCCGCTCCACCTCCGCGTCAACCCCCATCTTCAGACTCCGCATCATCATTGCCTCCGCCTTTAGCCTCTACGTCTCCTACACAGCCCTCTCCGCCTAGTCTTTCGTCCGCTCCGTCTCCCTCCCCACCATCTCCGCCTGGGCATGCGGCCTCTCCGTCTCCTCCACAGTCTCCTCCACCTCGGCATGCAGCCTCCCCAACTCCGCCACAGACATCTTAACCTAACCATTTCTGTTTCCGCTTTGATCTCCTTTGTCTCCTGTATCTCTTTCTCAAACAGTGTTTCCAACAGGTGAAATCGGTTTCCATGAGGGGTCGTACCATACCAAACTGAACTGAAATACCCCCACAACTAAACTGAACTGAAGTGTATTTCCAATACGCAAACCGGTTTAGTACCTACAACCGTTCTATCATCTAGCCCAATGCCCCAGAGGCTAGGCTCACATCCCCAAAATTCGTAACCGCTGGTTGATCCAATAGGTTGATCTAAAATGAGTCTTTGTATCGAGGGTAGCAGCATAATAAAACAGTTTAAACCCAATAGCGGGAAATGTCACAAGTAAACCGAGATTCTGCTACAACCGTTCTAGAATACCAGTTTGGTTCGAAGAACGGGTGAACCACTGGAAACACTACTCTCAACCTTCGACCAGTTAACCCCCGCCATCTCCGCTGTGGCACGCTCCGGTGGGTCAGGATTACAGCCTAGCACCATGACGTGCGCGACCTCCGCCTGCCTTGCCGCTGCCTGCGCTGTGAAGGTGAGGTGAGTCAGGGCGGCTATGCGCTCCTTGGTGAAATGCAGGGCGCGCTGGCCGGATATGACTTGGTTTAGCGCGTGGGTGGCGAGGGTGAGCAGGTCGGCAGTCTTGCAGCTGGTCGAGGGGGTTACCTGTGGTTCTTGTTTTTTTCCCTCCTTTCCCCCTTGTTTAAGTGATCGGCTGCGTGCAACCCTATGGTTCTGTTACCCCTATGGTTGCGGTTGCGGGAGGGGGAGGTTTCAAGGAGGTGGGCTGGGGAGGGAAGGGCGGGAAGGGGGGCGTACGCTAGTGTCATTTTTCGTAACTTGGACTTGCGGTACGGAGGCGGGGTGTAGTAGGGAGGTTGAACTCCACAGATTGAAAGTTGTGAGGCAAGCTTATTTACCTATGCTTGGTTGGTTGGACCCCTGAATTATAGGTCGCGATTTAGCCATAGAGAATCGGCTGGGGATTGATGAATAATGGGACGAGATATGCACAGCCGTGCATGTGCCCTGGCTGCTTTCTACGCCTATGTCACGATACTGATTTCTAAAAACGAAGAAAAAAACCGCTGGTTACCATGAACGAAAAATATTCCTTCACCGAATGGTTCTGGTCCTGGAGGGAACAAGAGCCAGAAGGGAACCTTCCCGACGAGCCCGGGCAGAAAGGGAAGAAGCCAAGAAAATGTTGAGGTAACTAATATCCCGTTCTAGACAAGACCCAGAGGGAACCATTCCTACGGTAATGTCGAGTGCCAGTGTTCCTAGCCGTCCCGGATGCCCTGCAGAGCCCCGTCTGGTCCACTAATGTGGGAGAAGAGTGGAAGGACGGCAGGGGGTAGTCTCTCCAGTCAATGAAAATAGAGGACTGCAAATGACGGGCGGGGCCTCCAGGGCCTATAACTACATACCCAGAGGGTAATGACTGCAGTTGACTGTAGTTGACCGCCGGCGAAGGCGGGAAACGGTGGGGAGAGCGGGGGACGGCGGGGGACGGCGAATGACTGCATATGACTGCATAAGACCGCGGTTGACTGCACAATCACGATCTATGACTCGAAATCTACTTCTCCCAAGTACTGCTCAACTCTGTATACTGAACTTCAATAGAACTCCTCTGTCCCTAATTCAATTTGTAGGCAATGCCGAGAGCCCGGCGGTCATGACGGCCATCTTCAGTCCTGTGCCCCTGGGGCGCAGTCCGCTCTAGAGCGCCTTTCATGACGGACCAATCTTGCCGTCCGTTCAGTCCGGCACCCTAAAACGGACGGACGGGACCTTTCGGAACACTGTCATTGTTACGCCCCAACCACGGACGGCCCTTCTCCAGGGACGTCCCTGGCTGGTATGTACCAGCTGTGGACGTCCACAGTTGGGTCATACCAGACATGAATAGTGTGATTTGCTGGTTGGCACAAGCCAACTGAACCAGCCAAGGACGTCCTGAGCAGTACAAAGGAAACAGAATAAGTGTTCTGTCAATTTCGCTTCTACCCACAAGGCCTCACAATAAAATAAGATTAGGGAATCCTACAGAACATCTACTGGTTTTTGCGGCGGGGTTATTCGAGAATTGTGTTACACTGCGCAGCTATCGCTAGAAATGTCAGAGATAGAGTTTAGAGAGAATATTTTGTATCTTGTTAAAAAAACCCCAAAATGTGGGGGGATGGATTTTCGAGAAGGTAGTCTTATGAGATCTACAGATTTCACTGTACTTCCTGATATTAACCGCCATTGTCACCGGTTGAGATACTTAGCTCATACTATACAGGGACATATAGATTTCCCGTTCCGCCCGGGGACGTCCACGACTGGTACATACCAGCCAGGAACGTCCCTGGATAATGGCCGTCCCCCACTGGGTCGTAACAACATTGTTGACTCGCGGTCGATGACAATAGGAACCCTGACAGGTAAAGGGAAAGATAAGACAAGAGTCTCCTTTTTTTTCATGACTAGGAAATGCCGTCAGAACCACCCCCGATCTGGGACGAGGGAGCGTCATGTATGCATGTACCCACTGAGCCCATTCCGGGGTGGAAAAGATTTAGTTGTCCGCAACAATAAATCATTCCCTTCTTGCCCGGGCTCATTGAGAATTTTTCCGCCTGGCCCAGGTCCCCCCCCAGGACTTCAACAGCCAGCAGAGGATGTCCCTGGGGTAGATCCTGGGCCAGAAATATGTCATTTTGCCAAGGCATTCTAAGTGACTTCACAGTTCTACAAAGTAGTACCAATATCCTCACACCAATATCCTTACACTGAAATAGTTGGCATTTACACTTGTAGTTACACCGGGCCTGGCACTTGAATTTTATCACGATATAATAAATTGTTACTGTTACAGGAATCACGGAACACTGTTCCGAAAGCAAAAGACAGTGAGGAAAATAAGTGATGGGTTGTGATGAGAGGACGGTCGGGTAACGAAAGGACAAGCATAGAAAGGTATCAGGTGGTATGGGAGCATGCGGTGTTACCACACTAGCATTAGGCTATTGTGATGGCATACTCACTGTTGGGTGTCTGACCTGGAACAGAATAGAAGTAGGGCTTACGGCTGCAGGCTGTTCTACTTAAGGAAGTAGGTCTAGGACAATAGCATAATACAGCCCGATGACTGGAAATTGCAAGGTTCATGGTTATGTGTTGGAATTAAAATGAAGGACAGAACTATGCGGGTGAGCTTTTCTATCTGGGTTATCTTCCATCGTATTCTCTATGTTATGCTATCATCGTAGTACTAGATAGTATAAGAGAGCGGGCCTTGGAATAGGTTCCCCCATGTATAAATAGGGTAGGATTCTCCGAAGACTTGAAGGCATCATCAGCCAACAAGTCAAGGGAATCCGGTTTACAATATGATCAGTTTAAAACACTACAGAATTATCGCTTAGCACTGGCCACTTCCCCAAACAGTTACCTTATTCGTAATGGGATGTGCTATCTAGGAACATTCCTGACTGGAGACTGTTTGTCGCTGGTGCAAGACGTGTATAAGCCAGCCCGGGCTGAAAGATAGATTCGGCCTGCCCCGGTGCATGATATCTAAAACGTGGCCTGGCACAAGCTAGATCGCCTGGGCCAGGCCAGGCCAACTTTAATATGCAGACTGGGCTTCCATGAATAGTGGTGGTCGTCCGTAAGAAGAGGGTGTCCGCCTATACGAACTGGTTTACATCAGCTTGAGTAATTGTGTTAGTAGGATCGAGAGAGATAGGATCCAATATATCACAATTCGACCCTCTCGAAGTTCCACCCCTACCAAACCTCTAGCGTTTGGAGTGAGCGAACCAGTGTTTCCAACGGTATCAGGCTATCAGTTCAAACCGGGTTTCTAGAACATTTCAAGAAGACAATTCAGTTTAGTTCTGCCTATTCACTATTTGGTTCTGTTCCGGTATTCCATGCAGGTCGGACTCCTCCTACGAAGTACGAACACCTTACCAGGAACAACCCTCGCCCAGAATACTTTGGGTGAAGAGTTTCTGCCTGAATGCGCCAGGCTTCAGAACCGTTCTGCAAGGTAAACCGGTTCTTATTCGGTCGATTCAGTTGTCGGCCGTTTATATTCAGTTCAGTTCAGTTCTGCTGAAAGTAAGAACCAATTACAACAGTTGGAAACACTGGAGCAAAATGTGGTTCGCAAACAAATATCTCTCTCTAAGTTCTATCCCTTCCATGATTCCGGTAGGGTTTGGCCACCGCGATGGTGTAATCATGATAAAGCTTGCTGTAGTTCTCCCTGCCTCTGATGACAAAAGATGTATAGATATCTGTGAACACTCCTTACAACCGCGTATAGTGTATAAACACCTTGGGGCACGGGCCTGCCTGTTTTGCGCGGACGAGATATCAATCTCTGCCCAGCCCATCAATTAAAACCCGTTCCCCAGCCCGCCGTGTCAAAAAATAGCCCGGGCCGCCCATCTCAGCCTCCGGCACGTCTGCGTTCCTGTGCTTGGGGGCGGCGGGGACGAGCCAAATATCTTCGCTCCCACGTGGTGGAAATACTCCGGTAACCGTGTCTATACTCATCCCTTACTACTGTCCTATGCCAATTGCAATAATAGTTGATCCCCCGAGGTTGCAAACATCCTGTGAAATTCAGTCTGTACAGGTCTACCTCTAACCTACCAGCGCGTGATCCTGCAGCTCGAGCATGTCACGATACATCTCCTGCACTAGCCACTCAACATCCTACCCCGCCTTCTCCACCCCACGTTTTTCCGCCGCATCGCCAGCGTCTCCCTACGCGTCTCCCTACGCGCATCGTCCTGTTCTGGCTCAACCACGAAGTCAGTTCATTCACGAGGTTTCTTAGGTAAACTAGTTCAATCAGGAAGTGAGATATATAACGGAATTTCCCCGCTCACTCAGGAAGGTTTTAGTCCACTTACGAAGTCAGTGGTAAACGTACAGGGAATTAACCATGTATGAGTCTGATCGCTTACAATAAAGTAGTGATAAAAAACAGAAGGTAAAAATGGATAGATCGTCAGCTAAAGATATTTTGGCAGAGGACATGGTAAGACCGGGTGACTCTCGCATGCAGCTCACAGCATTGAGATCTAATACTTGGCAAAGGTTGGTAGCTTTGATAACAGGGATAATCAATTTCGATCACACATATATATTCAGATAGTATATATTAGCAGGAAGCTCTATTTCCGGCCGCAGCTGTATTGCGCAAGGGGCTAATACTCGGCTCACAAAGACCGAAATATGTTTATCCGTAATAACTAGTATTTCGTGAATGAACTAGCCCACTCACGAAACTTCATGAGTTGACCGGCTTCGTGGATGCGCCAAAACAGAACTAATGATGATGATCCGTACTAGAAGTCTTTCTCTGCTTCCTTAAACTCTCGTAGTTGCCACTGAATCTCGGGAAACTACAAGTGTCCTCTCATTACATCCCTCCGCCTAGCCTAAAGCGACACTAACTACCTATAGTCTCTGCTACTTCTTTGTGATGGTGGAACATAACGACGAGATTTAGGAGGCAGCTCCATCTTCTGTCGCTCCATTTCCTCCTGCAGAAACTCGCTGAAGGTCTTGAGCTTCGGCTTTTCCACCTGCTGCACCTCTACCTGCACCAACGTTTCACTTTTCTCGTCCGCTCTCTCCTGCTGCACCTGCACCAACGTTTCACCCTTCTCGCCCGCTCTCTCCTCCGCCAGCACTCTCTTCTCCTCCCCCTTCGTCCGCGCCGCCTCTACTTTGGCCCTCTCCGTCTCAGCATCAATCCTCATCTTCTCACTCCGCACCACCATCGCCTCCGCCTTCAGCCTCTCCGTCTCCGCCACAGCCCTTTCAGCCTCCTTCGCCACCTTCTCCGCCTCGGCGTGGAGCCTGGCCGTCTCTGCCACCGATTTCTCAACCTCCTTGCTAACCTTCTCCGTTTCCACCTTGACCTTCTCCGTCTCCCTGACCACTTTCACCACCTCGACCCTGGTTCTCTCGGTCTCCTGCGCTATCCGTCCCATCTCCCTCTCCACTTTCTCTGCACTCGCCCCCCTCCCCACCTTCTCCCCCTCGGCGTGCAGCATCCCTGTCTCCGCCATCGATTCCTGAACCTCCTTGCTAGCCTTCTCGATTTCCGCTTTCTTCCTCTCCGTTTCCCCCCTCTCTTTACCCACCCTCTCTGCCTCCACCCCCGCCGTCTCGCCGCTGGCACACCCCGGCGGCTCCGTATCACGCCCTAGCACCTCCGCGTGCGCGACCTCTACGAGCCTCGCCGCTACATGCACCGTCGCCGCGAGCTGCTGCAGGGCGGACTTACGCTCATCGGAGGAGAGCAGGGCGTATTGGCCGGGTGAGGTTATGTGGTTTAGCGCATGGGTGGCAAGGGCGAGAAGGTCGGCTGTTTTGCAGCTGGGGAGGGGTGGTGTTAGTTATGGTTGTGGTTGGATGCGAGGGGAGGGGAGGGGGGAGGGGGAGGGGGCGTACGCTAGCGTCATTTTTGGTTGTGAGGGGAGGAGCTTGAATATTGGATTTTCAGTTGTGAGGTAAACTTATACACACCTGTGTATTACGCTTGGCTGGTTGGATGCCTAAATTACACGAGGTTGCACATAATCAGCGGAGATGGGTCGGGTTGATTACTAAGCGGATGAGACAAAGTTTTTAGATACCTGCATTCATGTGTACCGCCGCGTTTGAAAGGTCTTAGCACCCTTTCTCATACGGATCTCGAGGCCGCAATATAATGCAATAGATGTATAGCGGAAAAGTGAATGATAGATGTCGATCCAGCTTGAATAAAAGGTTTTCCCACTTTGAGTGACCGCCTTGTACAGAAAGTATAGTTGCAATGCGTTCAGGCATAGGATCTATCAATCTATCCATGGCCTCTTGGTCCATGGTTCCCCATTCCTCCTGCATCGCCCCCCATAGCTGGTCTGCACTATGAGGTTTTCTCTATGGATATCATTCAAGTCGCTGCATTGTTCGAGTTTCGTGCAGCGCTTCTCATTTACTCATTCTTGTGAATCGAGCTGTGCTGTGGATGAAAATAAAATTAAGAATCCCCACATACTCGTGGTCGCCATTCCCATTGAGAGTGTCTACGCCAATCTCGTTTTCAATCGTGTACACATTTCTCATGATCAAACTGCTGGCTACTTAATTCCCACAAAAAAGTTCAAATATCCAGCGAAATCCACTGTCGTGAGCTCTGTTTCTGCGTCAAGGGCGCGTGGCTGTACAGTCCGAGCATCTCTTTTCTCCACTTCGCGGCCCGACGCTCCCTACGCACCCTCGCCATTTCTGCCGGGCTCATCTCACCGTCCGAGGCCACCACCCCCGCGAAGGCCCGGGGCTCCGGAGGTTCTCCCTCCGTAGTTCCTCCCTCCTGCACCTGCACCGACCGCTCAACCTCCCTGCCAAGCTTCTCGTCCTCCACCCCGGCCGCCGCCTTCACCTGCTCTGTCTCCATCCCCGCCTCGATCTTCCTCTCCCCACTCCTCGCCGCCTCCACCTCGAACTCCGGACTGCCCCGGTGCCCCCCGTGAACCGAACCATTAAAACCCGTGCCCACCTTCTCCGCCTCAATATTCACCCGCTCGGTCTCCGCCTTCACCCTCTCCGTCTCTGCATCAATCCTCATCTTCTCACTCCGCACCATCATCGCCTCCGCCTTGAGCCTCTCCGTCTCAGCCACCGCCCTTTCAGCCTCCTTACCAGCCTTCTCCGCCTCCGCCTTTGCCCTATCCGTCTCGTTCACTATCTTTAGCGCTTCGGCATGTAGCCTCCCCGTCTCCGCCACTGCACGCTTAGCTTCCTTCTCTACCTTTTTTGTTTCTCCCTTGATCTTCGCTGTCGCCACCAGTATCGCTCTCTCCACCTCCCTCTTCGCCTGTTGCGCCTCTGCCTTACTACTCTCGACTTCTACGCCTTTGCCGCCCGCGGCGAGTGCTTCTACGTGTGCGACGTCAGCGAGCCTCATTGCTGCCTGGACTGTCAGGGTGAGCTGCTGCAGGGCGCGCTCGCGCTCGGAGGCGGAGAGCTGGGCGTGTTGGTTGGGCGAGGTGACGTGGGTTAGCGCGTGGGTGGCGAGGGCTAGAAGGTCGGCTGTTTTGCACCTGGAAGAGGGGTTAGTTGTCGTTCTGGAGTTGAAAGAGGTTTGGGGAGCGGGGGTTAGTGATGTGTGTTTCTGGTGGGGGGGAGGGGGGGGTGTACGCGAGTGTCATTTTTTGTATTTTCGGAGGAGCTGTGTGGTGTTGAGGGGCTTGGAGCGTGGAGGTTGGAGGTAGGAGGTCGGAGGTTGCAAGTGTAGGTTGTAATGCAAGCTTCGCTACCCGTAGTTGATTGGATGCCTAAATTACGCGCTTCACGATCGGCGCTTGAGCCGCGGACGAGATAGTTATGCATGTTTGGCCAATAGGTTATGCGAGAGTAAGATGCTGTTCTGTAATCGGGTATGTGGTAAAGCTTAGCCTTCAGAATGTCTCACACTGCGAAACAGAAAGGTATTGTTGACCCGCCTGCTTCTGGCACGTAACAGCGCGCTGAACAGTTTGCAGGCCCGATCTCTTACACTGAGCCTGAGCCACAATGTATCTCGTAAGAAAGACTTTGGAGGTTTTCAACGGTTGCATCTTTTTTACTAGTCATTTTTCAAATTGAGGAGCTAAAAAAAAGGAAAAACGAAAAACAGAAAAAGGAAAAAAACTATGTTGCCAAAATACGGCCGGACACATTACCACCGACACCATCTCTCCCTATTATTCTTGAAAACAACCGTCCCAACAGTCTCACTCCTTCCGCCCGCCCAAAGTTCTCTTCCGGCTCAGTCATAAAGCCATTTCCTCAACATCTCAGTTTGCCTGTTCTCGCGTTTCTGCCGCTCCTCGTCGACCTTCTCCGCCTCCACTTTCGACCTCTCCACCTCGGCTTTTATCCACTCTGCATCCCTAACCCCATCCGACTTCATCTCCCCACTCCTCCCCCCTCCGCCTCCACCCTCATCCGCTCCGTATCCGCATCAATCCTCATCTTCACGCTCCTCACCACCATCGCCTCGGCCTTGAGCCTCTCCGTCTCCACCACCGCCCTCTCCACCTCCTTCCCTACCTTCGCCGCTTCCGCCCTCAGTCTCTCCGTCTCGGCGCGGATCCTCTCGGTATCGACAGGCAGTGTTTCCGCGTGCGCGACCTCGGCAAGCTTGGCTGCGCCTTCGGCGGTCGCGACGAGCTGCTGCAGAGCGGACCTGCGCTCAGAGGCTGTGAGGAGAGCGTGTTGGTTGGGTGAGGTGAGGTGGTTTAGGGCGTGGGTGGCGAGGGCAAGGAGGTCGGCGGTCTTGCAACTGGAGAAGGGGTTAGCTGGGGCTGTTGTGGGAGGTGGAGCGTGTGGGGTGCGAGGCGGGGGGACGTACGCTAGTGCCATTTTTGGTTTTTTGAGGAGGAAATGGGAGGTTGGAAGTTGTGAGTGTTGAAGTTTGGAGTGTGGGAGAAAATGACTTGAATGTGGTTTGAACACGTGACCTTGAGGGAGGATGTGTTTGTAGTGCGAAGAAGATACTATTGCGCCGCTGAAGTTCCAGCGACAATGTGGGTGATTGAGCGCTCTATATATACAGATATTCTAATACCACGTGATCCCCTGATTACATAATCCCTGACACTAAGCCTTGTCTGAATCCCTGTTCCTTCTATGAGTCATCCCTTATACATGAGTAATTCCATACATAACCGATGTCGCAATGCCCTATTTCTACACTTCCCCTCACTTGCCACATCGTATCAATTCTGACAATTTTTGGTGAGCTGGTTTCGGTAGTCCTTTGGTCATTATGTCTGCAACATTGTCTTCGGTTGGGACATAGAGGAGTTTGAAGGTTTCGGCTTCGAGTTGTTCACGTGTGTAGTGATAGTGAACGTCGATGTGTTTGGACCGGTCGTGGATACGTGGGTTCCGACAGAGTTCGATGGACCCTGTGTTGTCGGCGTGGATGTTGTATTGGTATTGTTGTTGGAGTTCGCATAAGGCGTTGCGAATCCATACCAGTTGTCGAGCTGTTAGGGACAGAGCCATATATTCGGCTTCTGTTGTTGAGACTGCGACTGATTTCTGCTTCCGGCTTCTCCAGCTTATGGCTGATTTTCCTAGTCTGAACACGTATCCTGAGAACGATTTTCTGTCATCTAAGTCTGAAGCGTAGGAACTGTCTGAGAAACCATCGAGTGTTCTAGTGTTTCCTTTCGGGTAGAACAGGTTCCAGTCTTTGGTTCCGTTGAGGTATCGGAGAGTTCGTTTGGCTGCTCGTAGGTGGTCCTCAGTTGGGCATGAGGAGTACTGAGAGAGGGCAGTAACGGTATGGGTGATATCAGGTCTGGTTGCTATGCTGGCGTACATGAGTGATCCAATTATGGATTGATACTCAGTTGGTTTCTCGATTTGATCTTCTGGTTCTCCTTTACGAAGACTCAGATTTGGTTCGAGTGGTGTCCCAACTGGTTTGCAGTTGTTCATTCCAAATTTGTCTAGGATTTTGTTGATGTATGCTAGTTGTGACAACGTGATACCGTTCTTTGTTACCGTTATTTCTATTCCCAGTAGGAATTTCGCATTACCGAGATCCGTACATTCGAAATCTGCCTTAAGTAGTTGTCTGATTTCGTTTCTGAATGGGGAGTCGGGTCCGAATATCATGATGTCGTCAACATACACCGATATGTATAGTTGGTGTTTCTTATGTATGAAGACACATGGGTCGAATTTGGCTGGGACAAATCCTTTCCGTTGAAGGGAGTCTGCTAGGCAAGCGTACCATTCACGGGGTGATTGTTTTAGTCCATATATGCATTTTCGAAGTTTACAAACCTTATGGTCCTGCCTGTAGCCTTCAGGTAGTTCCATGTAGATTTCCTCCTTAAGTATACCATATAGGAAGGCTGACTTGACGTCCATTTGTTGTGGTATCCAACCGTTGTGTGCGGCTAGTGCAAGTAGGAGTCTTAGGGAATCGTATCGGGCAACGGGAGCGAAGGTTTCATCATAGTCTTGATACTGTACTTGGGTGAAGCCTTTGGCGACGTATCTAGCTTTGTATCTTTCGATTGTTCCGTCCGCGTTGTGTTTTACCTTAAATACCCATTTTCCTCTGACTACTGCTCGGTTGGTTGGTCTGTCGACAATGTCCCAGGTGTGGGCCTTATCGAGGGCGTCTTTCTCTGTCTGTATTGCCTTCTTCCATAGGTGTTGATCATCGCTTTTCATTGCTTGATTGAAGGTGGTAGGTTCAGTTACTAGGTGTACCCGATGTATGGTGGAATCCAGGTTGTCGTACTGGCTTTGGAGCTTTGCTTTGTCCTTTTTGTGGTCTAGACTGACTGCTTCCATTGCTAGTTGCTTGATTTGTTCGTCCATATCTTCATCGGCTAGTATCTCTGATACCTCCTTGTCATAGGTGGTTCCTAATTCCGATATTTTCAGTCGGATTTCCTTCCTTTTCCCTTCGATATCAAGTGCTGCTTGTTTCTCCGTTCTTTCACGGATGCGATTCGATCTTCTTGTTGTGACAGGATGCGGGACTTCAGATTCTTTCTCCTTTTCGGTTGTTGGTTTCCAAGGTTTCGATTTCCTTGGTGGTTCCGGGGGAGGTGTTTCTGTGTTTTCCTGATTAGCTTCCTGTTTATTACTTTGTTCGAGGTGACGTCCAGGAGTGGGCCTCGTAAGCCCGGCCCCCAGTCTACTTGCGTCTGTTTCAAGGTCTTCTTCGAGTGCTGACGATTCGGGTTCTTGATCAGGCCTGTCTTCTGATTCATATCCGTCATCTGTCGGTGCAGGTGCCGCTTCTGGTTTCAGGATAGGGGTGTAGTCGAGTTCCACGGAGACTTCCCCTGATTCAGGAAGGGAGAATGTGACATCTCGACTTACAACTAACCTATTTTGTGATCCTATCCAGGTGCGGTAATGTTTGGTACTGTCTGAGTATCCGACGATGATTCCTTCGTGTGCTCGGGGTGCTAGTTTGCTTCCTGCTGGCCTAGAGTTTTCTGGGATGTGGACATAGCATTTCTTTCCGAATGGTTGAAGGTGTTGGATACTCGGCTTTGAACCTTTCAGGGCTTCGAAGGGGGTCTTTCCCTTTAGCGTACTGTGGGGTAGCCTATTTTTGAGGTAGACAGCTGTTGAGTATGCTTCACCCCATAATGATTTAGGATGGTCCATGATCATGCACCTGACCATTGTTGTTATCGTCCTGTTGAATCGTTCTGCAACTCCATTTGATTCAGGAGTGTATGGGGGAGTCTGTTCGTGGATTATTCCTTGTAGGTTGAAGTAATCCATTGTGTCTTTGTTGACGTATTCACCACCACCGTCCGTTCTAAATCTCAGTATTGTTGTATTGTACTGTTTCTCGATTTTCGTGACGTAGTCTTTGATGGCTTTTATCACATCGTCTTTCCGTTTTAGCAGATATATCCAGGCGAAGCGGGTGTAGTCGTCAATGAAGGACATATAGTACAGGGCTTTTCCTTGCGATTGTGTGCCGAATTTTCCAGATAGGTCAGAGTGGATTAGTTCGAATGCTCGCTGGGATCTTGTACTAATTGGTGCAGGTTTCTTGTGCACACTTTTTGATAGTGCGCATTGACTGCAATGGAATGTTTCTGGTTTGGGGGGTAGCTTATGGATGTCTTCGTACAAGTTTTCTAGTGTCGCAGGGTGGCCTAGTGCTTGATGCCATTCAGAGTAAGTGGTCAAGCGAACTGTATTGCTAACTACTTGTACATTCCAAAGTCCCTTATCCAATTTCGCCCAAATTATTCCTTTCTTTTCTTTCGTGACCAATTTGTTTCCTCCTCCTGACTCTGTTCTAAACCCCTTTTCGTCGAGTATTGTTTCTGAGACCAATCCCACATTTCCCATGGTTGGGACCAGCAGCACGTCGGTGAGGACAACGGTGGATCTATCTCCATTGGGAAGGTAGCATTCGAAACTAGCGCTTCCCAATCCGGTGACAGCGTGGATGGTGCCGTCGGCTGTTCGGACTGTGCTGGTGTGAGAACGGATGTTGAAGAGTTGGTCTTTGAAAGGTGTTACGTGAGAAGTAGCTCCAGAATCAAGGATCCAGGTAAGGGGCAGAGAGGGTGAAGTATCGGTGCGTACCATGCATACTGTTGTGGATGATTCGTTGATAACTACCGACGCTGAGTTATCTCTGCCTGGTCTCCTTCTGTTTGAATCCCTTGTCTTGTTCTGTTCTTTGAGCTTTCTACACTCCTTGTACTCGTGGCCCTGGTACGGGTTATTCCGTTTCTTGCACCAGGTGCATTCCTTGCCGTTTGGTGTTGGGGTACTCCTGGTATGAAGTACCCTGTTGTTGCCAGTGAGAGGGGTTTCCTCTTGTAGGTTTTGTAGCCGTTGGCGTACATCTTCGTATGTAACATCCTGTTTGGTCTGGATGTTATCGACGATGTTGCTCATCGACTTCGGCAGTGAGGCAAGTAGGAATGCTGCCATTGCTTCGTTGGATTTGGTGAGGGGTAGCAGGGCCTGAGCGAGTTTGTGGTCGCCGCTCTGACACCTGGTTTTGAGAGTGTTCCAGTTCGTGTTGAAGGTCTCGAGATGCTCGGTTAAGTTACCGTTGTCTTGCATCTTCGTGTCTAGAACACGGCTGAGGAGGGTGATCGTCGTGTTTGGTGATACGCGATCGTAGAGGTCTTTGAGCGCCTTCCATGCGTGGTATGCATTTTCAGCGGAGACGACTGTTGGTTGTATGTCTTCGGCTACAGCTCCGATGAGAAGGCTGTGCATTTGTTTTCGGGCCTTTTTGATTTCGGCCTTGGTGAGGTCTGTGTCATCTTCTGAGGGGTTTTCGATGCTCAATGCTTCCCACCAGTCTGCTGCATCGAATGTGATCCTCCAGGCAGACGCTCAAGTTTGGTAGTTGGATTGTCCCTTTAATTTTGGGAGTCCATCAAACTTGATGCGAATGTTACTGGGACTCGTGTTGTCTGAGGACTTAACCTCCACGGCCCTGGATGATTCACCAGCGTCAGACATGATGTTGTATGAAGTGTAATTGAGTTAACCGAATGTGGCGAGTGTTGTACGGATTTTATTTGGCAAAACCCAGGCTCATAACCTGAAGTTTGGAGTGTGGGAGAAAATGACTTGAATGTGGTTTGAACACGTGACCTTGAGGGAGGATGTGTTTGTAGTGCGAAGAAGATACTATTGCGCCGCTGAAGTTCCAGCGACAATGTGGGTGATTGAGCGCTCTATATATACAGATATTCTAATACCACGTGATCCCCTGATTACATAATCCCTGACACTAAGCCTTGTCTGAATCCCTGTTCCTTCTATGAGTCATCCCTTATACATGAGTAATTCCATACATAACCGATGTCGTAATGCCCTATTTCTACAAGTGTGGGTTGTGATGTGAGCTGATCTACATTCTTGACCTGTACCCTGCGCTTGGTGGGTTGGAGGCCTAAATTATTATGAGAGGTATTAGCAGTTCCCCGCGGAGAAAGATCGGGGGTTGAATGACTAAGTGGACGAGACTTGTACCTGCAGGAATGTATCTCTAACCCTTCACCTTTGATACCGTGATATATGTGATATCCTATTTAATACTGATTTCTCAAACCTAACAGCTGGTACGATTTGAACAACACAGAGCAAAAAGCTAATCAGCCGAAAAATACACCCGATTACAAAACCCACCAAGTCCAGCTCCCCCTACCCTATTACCCTATTACTCTCGAAAGAAAACAAAATGAAACCTGGCAGCCATCTCATTCCACGCCTCCGCCTGAGTAGCTCCATTGTCTCTCTCATGGCTCAGTCATAGAGCCATTTTCTCAACAGCTCGTTGTTGCGGTTCTCCGGTATCCTCCTCTCCTCGCCGACCCTCTTCGCCTCCATCTTCATACGCTCCGCCTCCGCCACCACCTTCTCAGCCTCTTTTACGGCCTTCTGAGCCTCGTCTCTACCTTCATTCGCTTCGCCTCCGCCTCCCATCTCATCCGCTCCGTCTCCGCCGCCATCTTCTCTTCCTCTGCCCTCACCCTCTTAGTCTCCGCATCACTCTTCATCTTCTCAACCATCGCCTCCGCCTTCACCCTCTCCGTCTCCGCCACCACAGCCCCCACCTCGTTCCTATCCTTATCCGCCTCGACCTTCACCCTCTCCGTCTCCGCCGCCACTCCCTCCGTCACTGCCCTCCTCCCCTCCGTCTCAGCATCGATCCTCATCTTCTCACTCCTCACCACCATCGCTTCCGCCTTCAACCTCTCCGTCTCGGCGACCGTCCGCTCAGCCTCCTTACCCACCTTCCCCGCCTCCGCCTTCAGCCGCTCCGTCTCGCTCTTTGCCCTCTCCGCCTCGGCACGGATAATCTTCTCTGTGATCGCACCGCTCCCTGCTGCTGCTGCGGCCGCTCCGCCGTGCGCTGTGAGCGCCTCCAGGTGCGCTACCTCGGTGAGCTTTGCGGCGCCTTCGGCTGTCGCGACGAGTTGCTGGAGAGCGAGACGGGATTGCTCCGTGGGGAGGAGCGCTTGCTGCCGCGGTGAGGTTAGTTGGTTCAGGGTGTGCGTGGTGTGGCTGAGGAGGTTGAGGATGTCGGTGCTGGTGGCGGTGGGGGTCAGTCTGGTGCAGGTGGTGGACAGGGAGGGGAGGGGGTGCATACGCGAGTTTTGTCATTTTTGGGACTGGAGTAGAGGAGATTGGGGGTTGGAGCTTGGAGATTTAGTGGATGTTGGACCTGCTGGAAATTGCTTGGTTGCCTGGTTGCAGGCGGGGTGTAGGCGGTTCAGCCGCGGAGAAAGGTTGGGTGGGGGTGGATGACTAAGTGGATGAGATATGTACCTGCATATATGGTTTCTGCGCTGGGGTCTTGGTTGATACTGATTTCGAAGTAAAACTGCTACTATCGTTCACGGGGTATTGACGAACACTGGGTGATGACGAACAAACCAAAAAAGAGACAGCCAAGCCAGGTTTTGCCTGCAATCCGCCAACACCTAGTGTCCGCCAATACCCCGTCAACGACGGTAGTTAACATGAACGAGGCTACCCCGCTAAAATACAGCCCCCGGGAGCAAAACCTCCGGGAGAAAACGGCACCGACCACTAAATCAAGGAGTTCAGACTGTGCCGGCTGTACCAGCTGTTTATCGTGTGAGTTTGAACCAGTTTAACTGCTTTATGTCTTCGCATACTGACCATGATAAAAATGGCACTTCACAATCTCAAACGGGCTGTTCGAGCTTTGGAAGTTCAATTATTTCCAGCGGTTGTGGCCGGTTCTTACGTTCCGAAGAACTGAACTTAACTGAATAAAAATGGACAACAACTGAACCGACCGAACGAAGAACCCCTCTATCCTCCAGAGCTGTTAGCAGGTCTCAGCAGTGTTGATCTAGCAGGAAGTCTGCACTATAAAGTGTTCTGGGTTAGGGTTGCTCCTGATAGGCTTTTCGGACTTTGGATGAGGTCCTGCACCTGCATACAAAGCTGATTTAACCCAAGCAAGCCATAAACTGAACCGAACCGAATATTTGATGGGCAAAACTGGAAATTTAGCAATATCTAGTCCACTCAGAAAACACCTCTTCACATGCAATATCAGTAGGACGGGCGGAGACAAACCCAATCAGACAAAGTCTTAACCAGAACAGGTCTTGAACCAATAAATAAATCCTTATGTCACCATCTGTGAAAGGTTATGTTAGACCAGCCCATTATAATTTGATCCAGTCTGGTCCGGCCCATGGTTTCCCAGAACTGCCTGGTCCAGTCCGAAACTAGGTTTTGAGGGGTCCTGACCATTTCAACCTCACCATACATTATGACTCTGCATATATTTTATTCCTCTGCTTCTGGTGTTTCTGCTTCTTCTCCTTGTCCCTCTCCATCCCCAACTCTATGTGCGCAATCTTCACCCCAATCTTCATTAACTAAATCTCCATCGGCCTGCTTAATTCCTGCCAGGATCTCCTTCTTCTCAATCCCGCCTCCATTCTCTTTCACTTAACCTTCAACTCCCCCTCCTTGCACTCTCCAATATGAGTAAATTTAATTCCTTCATTTAACTCCTGGTGAAGTCTCAACTCCGTTCCTGTCCCACTCAATACTGTTTTGTCAACCTCCATCTTGCAACTGTTCTGCTTAACCTCCGAAAACTAGTAGCTGGCTGCAAATCCTGAGGTGCACTCCTTCTCTTAACTCTGTCTTCACCGAGCTATTCACTCCCTTATACACTCTCATGCTTGGCCCTGCTATTTACACACTCTCTTACCTCTCTTTTACCATATATACCGTTGGCCACCCCGTCTCTGCATTCATCCTCTCTATTTCCCAATCAATTTTCATTCTGTTGTTCTCTAGAAATAAGACACTGGATATGTTTCATTCTTTTGGAGGATTGTAATAATTTCCTAATAGGATTTGGAATCAGCTTATGAATCCGTTTTGATTTACTCTCCTATTAGTTATTTTATTATCCATGTATCTATAATTCATTTTATTTCTTTTGTATTACATTTCTTTAGTATAAATACTGGATACTCCCTTTAGCTGGAACAATTAACCCAATGAATTACTTTATCGTTACTACAAACTTTCTCTAAATTATGGACTAGGAGATTATATATATCAAGATAAAATTTGTGTTTTTCACGGTAAAGTAGACATTCTCGTTTCACTCTCCAATATATATGGAAGTTTCATAAAAACACCCAAACTCTAATGCTAGCTGTCTAGCGAATGAAGGCCCTTATAGTATAGAGGAGAGTGTGACTCTCAAATTTTGAAACTTCATGATTTTTGGAACTTGTTCCATGATTTAAGGACCCTTTTCATTTTGACCACTACTAGTACTACCTTATATATATTCCAACAAGAATTAGGCAATTCAGATGAGAGAGAAGAATAGAATAAAAAATTCTCTGTCAGGAATGAAAAAATTAAAAATTAAAACAAAACGGACAACCTCGTGGTTGTATATCTTCAATCTCATGTCAAACTGGAAGTTATTCTGATTCTCACCCTCGTGGTTATCAATTACTACTTCTTAATACAACTTGAGGATATGTTCAATCAGAAAACTGTCTCTTCCCTCCTTTCGGTCTTCACCAATATCATCACACTGCGGGAAATACACAATAAGTGTATCAAAGTAGATTTAATACATTTCAAAACTCTTTAGTCATCTATCCTCACCAGGACTAATGGCTTTACGGACAATACGAATGACACATTCACTAACCAACGGAAAATTGCCTGTCATCTTTGGGAACCTGGTTTCCCAAAATGCCTTATATGTACCAGCTGCGCAAAGAGTATTCCTTACCTGTAGACCTCTACTGATGCATACTCAAACAGAGCCAGTTCAACCCCTTAACAAAAAACGTTGTCATGACAGGTATAGACCCAAATTGGTCTTTTGGATTCTAATGTCATTTCAACGCTAGTGTAATGAAGCCATTTCAACGATTTGGTATATGAGTACACAAAGGGCCTGATTACATGTTGAGAGTTATTGATAAAAAGGAGTTGAACAGTGATACGTAAATATGGGCAGTATGGTTAGCTACCAACTGTAAGGGTAACAACATTTTGAGTTCTAGGAAGAGGATCTATTCATGTTCAGCAATGACTGACGAGTCAAAGCCTCGCCAATAATTGGAAGGTCAGCCAGAGTGAACCTCTGACTACTCGGCGTCCCTCTATATTCTCTGAGCATTATAAGTCCGCCGGCACTGGCAGGTACTATGCTTGGGAAGTCTACAATAAAGCAAGAGCTCGACCGCAATGATTAAAGTTAGGAATGGGTACTGACTCATCCATGCATGCCTAGAGTTGTGAGGCAACCTAAGCTGAAGTTGTTACAAAGATTTTGACTAAGGGTAATTGCTTTCGGAACTGTAAGCATACTCTAACGCTTAAGGAGAAGTAGGATGGTGGACGGATTGCTTCCATTCCGACAGAAGCTATCGCCGGAATTTAGTAAGGGATTAGGAGTAGAGGATGCAGTCCTTTGGAGTATAAGTATGCAGTATCGTTCCCGCCCTAATATCTGAAGTCCCTCCAGTCTTCAAGAGATATCAACTATCCTATCCAGTAGTAGAGCCTTTAAAGATTATCGAGTTCTAGCGATAAATCTTTGAATAATCTAAATCCAATTTCTATCTGGCACGGCCATATCCCTCTATCGGATTGTAGGGATACGTGGAAAGACTGTCCCATTACAGCTAGTATCTTTGGTGAAGTTAAGTGGTTTGGACAGCACCTTTTGGTGTTGGAATGAAATTTTTCAGTAAAATATACATCGACTAAGACTTTCTTTCCGCCCACCGGTCGCATATCTTGATATATCTGAATATTTAATTCTCTATGTACATATTTGCTAGCATCCTACCTACCTGTGCACTTGACTACCTGCCTGCCTACTTACACCCGCTGCCCGTCTCCCTACCTGCTTGCCTACCCTGCACCTGCCTGCCTACCTCCGAACCTGCTTGCTTACCTACCTACCTATGAGGAGCTTAAATGATATTGATTTCGTGCACCGTCAGTCATAGATATAAGCGTAGATTTGAGAGTAGATTTGATGCTGGTTTAGGTGTTGACTTGGCGCAATTGTCCGACGTTTTATTGTGATTTAGGTATCAATTTGCTTCTAATTTGATGCTATTACTTGACGATTTGGTGTCGTTTAGCAGTCTGTAGTAGTGTCAATACAGGTATAAAAATATAGGTAGCTAAATACGTATCCAAGCATCACTACAGCCTGAAGTAAGAGGAAGACATCGCTGCTGGTAAGAGGTAGGCATCGCTGCAGGTAGCGGTAGGCGTCGCTGCTGGTGAAAGGTAGGTGTTGAGGTAGGTATCTGGAAAAAAATAGGTAGATATGTAGGAAGTCAATAGGTAGGTAGCTGGTAGGCAGCTAGGCAGGTAGATAAGCAGGTGGGAATCCTCGAGATGTCAAATCTGACGTTATTCGCCAGCGAGCCGTGGGCTAGCACCAGGACTTTGGCAGATTCGAAACAGTGGATGGTCTTTTGGGAGTAAGTGGGGCATCAAGGGGCGAGGTGACATATTTGAGATAACTAGTAGACATTAAAAGGTTAGAAGTCATATTTTGGACGCCTAATAGGCATTAAAAGTCGATATATCCTATTTGGTATGCGTACTAGGCGTGAAAAAGTGATGTGTCACATTTTGGTGGCAGCGCAACAAGGTTTTGTAAGCAATAGACGAGGTTTTGGGTGCGGAAAAGGAATTTGGACATCTGTGCGCGGGGATTTATCCTGGTGAAACCCGTTTTTTCCTGATATACTTTCGATTACTAACTCTCTTATAGAAAAATGCTACACACTGCACTCATATGCCTGAATGAGCCAAGCTATACTTACTACATTGATGATTCTTGCGTGTATCCCGGACACTTCTTTATACTAGTGGAAACATTCATCTACTAATGAATTTATACACAACAATCCATCGTCACCTCTAGTAAATGGGCAGAATATATGTCTCCCTCTAACATTAGGAGACATATGATATGGGTAAAAAATGTCATAAATGAATTAGAAAGAAAACCAAAATTTTCCTCGATCCTTCATGTAGATAACGATGGCCCTTTCTCTCTAGTTAAAAATCCAATCTTTAATGAAAGATGCTATTACGGGAGATAACGACGTACTTCATTAGCTTGGAGTTTGGATTGAAGACAAGCGAGAGAGTATGATTGTAGGATGGACGGGTAACCATTATGCAGTGTAGAAAGGATCAAGGTGGTGTGGAGGCAGCCCGTATGCGACCACACCGGTAAGATACTATTAGGCGGCATGCTTGCGAAAGCAGGGCTTACAGCTGCAGGCTGTTTTACTTTGAGAAGGAGGTCGAACATGATAGTATGATACAGCCCGGTAACCGGCAGTTGTGAGTCAGAGAGGTTACGTGTTAGAATAGGATTAGATAGAAAGTGGACCCTAGTGTGGGTTCCTCACATGTATAAATCGAGGGGCGGATTCCAGCCAGGGGATGGAGTCTTCTCTTATCATCAGTGAGCGGAATCGTGTTTACAATATTGTCTCAGGTTAAAAGCTACAGAACCTTTGCTTAGCGTTGCCTTATGTTTGATATCCCAAAACACAGATTCTAACTTCCCCTATCTTATTACTCTTGAGAGAACAGCTGCGGGCCCTCTCGTTCACCCCGTGCCCTCGTAAGTATCTCGGTTATCTCTGTTACAGGTCATCAGTAAAAATATTTCCTGAATCGCTCACTCTCCCTGGTCCCAGGGACGCCCATGGGCCATGGGCTCAGACGAACGGCCCGGGTCAAAGGTTTTCCTAGATAGGCCAGGCCGCCGGGGTGGAGGTCCATGTTTGGTCCAGGCTAAATACACAGCCCGGGCTTCAATGTGTTCGTACAATATTAGCGGTCAAGTACGTCAATAGGCCAGCCCAGGCTGAAAATATGGTCGGCCGGGCCCGGCCAATGCTATCAAGGCCACGGCCTGGGTCTAGCCAAATAGCCCGGGCTTCCATGTCTTGAAATAGGGCGCTCGACACGTTTCATAGTTCTGGAAGATTCTCATCATTTCATCATAGTATTTGTCATCGGCGCATGACTCACTCTCCTATTAGTCATTCTATCACTCACACGTCTATGACTCATGTATTTCTTTTGTACTACCTTTCATTAGTATAAATACGGGGCATTCCCCCTTAGCTAGAACTAAAACACACGATCAATTACTTCACTTCTCCTGAATACTTTCTCTACCATGAACAGGGGCCCTCGTGGGTAGGAACCGGGTGTTCGTCCAAATGAACAGGTTTTTATCTACCTAATTTATTATGATCGTGGCCTAGCGGTAGATAAAATCAAATATACTACAGTTTTCCCTGCCTCTTACGGTAAAGGGTGTGTAAATGTCTGTGAACCCTCCTTCGAACCGGTATTAGTGTATGAACACCTTGAAGCCCGGGCGAAATATTGGCCTCCGCCCGGCCTGGCTCGTCAACTAACACCTATGGCCAGGCCAGGTCCTGCAAAGACAGCCCGCGCCGCCGGTCTCAAGCCACGGCTCATTGACGCCCCTGTTAGAGGTTCGGAAGTAGGGTTCATAGATAACTATTCATCTTTTACCATAAGTGGCAGGGAAACATGTAGCATATTCGATATTATCTATTCCCAACCCATGAAGACAAGAGGCCAAGCCGATGCTAACCAGTTCGTATGGACGAACGCCCTGTTCTTACCGGTGAATATACCTATTTATGGAAGCCCAACTCAGGTTATTTATCTTGCGCCAGGCGGTGATGATCAAGGTTTCCAGTAGTAGAAACCGGTTGTGATGGAACACAAAACCGCACCGACTACTAGATCAAGGGACTCAACCTGTACCAACTGTACCAACTATTTATCTTGACAGTCTGAACCGGTTTAACTGCTTGAACCGTGGTTCGATATTTTGGCATAATCACTATGATAACTGTGCTAAAAACAGTTATTCGCGCTCTTAAACACGGTGTTCGAGCTCACGAATATGAGGTTTATAAACCGTTTAAACCGTTGGTATAACTGGTTTTGCAGATTGTTAAACCGTTCAAACTATTTATTGAGGGCGACAATAACTGCACCAACTGTTAAGTTAAACAGTTCAGTTAAACCGGTTTGATTCATCATACCGGTAAACCACTGGAAACCTTGGTGATGATTCTGGTAGTATTGGCCGGGTCAGGTTGACCCTATTTTTCAGCCCGGGCTGGACCATTGACGCCATTGCCTGGTGTGGCGCACGAGCCGGACTGGCTTGAGCCTCAGCTTGCGCAATTGGCTCAAGCAGGTATGGGCCCGACCATCCATGAACCGGGCTGAGTCGAGACCAAAGCTGGACTTATCTTGAGCCGGCTTTTCAAATAATAGAGAATTCTGATAGGAATTGGATATACTAGAACCGAGCAGGGTTTTCACAGTGCTCATATCCACTTATATGTGCGGGGACTTTCCGGGACCACGGGGGATATATCTATATAAGAATGCAATCCACCTCAGTTCAATCTTTAGCAACGATAGTTCCAGTCAGCGATCGTGGGTTGTCATCTGACGAATGCTCATATTTTCGATCAAAGACGGCCTTGTGGCATGTAATATATGTACCTCTAGAGTATCTGTCAATTTATCGTCATTTTTTAATCCTTTGGCTCGAGCCGGTCTCAAGCCCCCGAGCTTTTACGGAGGAGTCGAGCGCAGGCGCTGATGTCACGAGCTCGAGCATGATCAAGGTATATCGGAATTTGTGCCCGAGCCGGCTCGTGAACCATGCTGTTTCTTCCGGTTCTTCCGTTTTTCAATGACCTTCTCAATAGACGACATCCTATGCCTAAGCTCCATGTCCCGCCGGTCTATGTCCGCGTTTAGCGTTGCCTGATAATCTAGTCATTTTCTCTCCTGCGCCTGCGACTGCTTCTTGGCTTCTTTGTTGTGCTTTTCTGCCTCCAACTTCATCCTTTCCTTATCGACCTTCGGCCTCTTCTCTTCTTTCTTTAAAAATCCCCTCTGCTTCTCCCGCGCCGACCCCGCAAGATCTTTTCTCCCCACCGTCTCCGTCTCTGCCTTCTTCCCCTCTGTCTCGACCCTCTTCCACTGTGTCTCAGGCATCGTCCCATCCGTCTCTGTTGTCAGCCCGTCCGGTCCCTCCTTGAAATCTACCCTTTGTGTCTGGCGCGCCGATCACTCACGGTCCTTGCCCCCCGCCGTCTCCGCCCCCACCTCCACCTCCTCCATCTCCACTCACCCCATCTCCACTTTCAGCCACTCCGTCTCCGAATCAATCTTCATCTTCTCAATCCGCACCATCATCGCCTACGCCTTCAACCTCTCCGTCTCTGCCACGGCCCTCGGATCCTCTTTTCCGACCTTCACTTTTTCCGCCTCGGCTCTACCTCCTTCCGTATCACGCTTCCCTGCTGCCGCTCCTCCACCCTGCGCTATTGTCGGCTCCGGATGCGCCGCTGCCTGCAAGATCACCGCGAGCTGCTGCAGGGCGCACTAGCGCTCGTAGGTGGCCGTAATGTGAGCTGCATGGGCGAAGTGGTATGGCTTAGCGCGTGGGTGGCGAGAGTGAGGAGGTCGGCGGCCCTGTAGCTGGGGAGGGGGGGAGGGGTTAGCTTTGGGTATTTGGGCAGGTTTGGTCGGGGAGTGGGGGTAGGGAGGGGGCTTACGCTGGTGTCATTTTTACGTTTTTGGAGGAGGTGTGCGCAGCGGGGGAGCTTGAAGCTTGACGAATGTGCTTCGTTGAATGCCTAAATAACACGCGCAGGGTGAAGGTGAGGGATGACTAATAAAACTACGCGTGTTCCTACATGGTGGGGCTAGTGACTCAACGCAGCCGGTTGTGCTGACTTAAGTCGATAACGGTATCGTATTAGAGAGGTTTTGCAGGCGGCAGATGCACTTGTTTCCACGGTTACGGCAGGAGTTCAGTAGCCAAAGTAATGCGAGACATCAGATACAGACTTCAGATAGCAAGATGTTAGTGAAGGAATTAGTACAGACTATTTTAGGCACGGGCCATGTAAAAAATGAATTGATTGGTGAACGAGAAGGTGGATCCTCAAACCCCAACCTATTAAGAGATTTAGATATGAGGCAGCGCCTGCTTGGTAATTCTTCACACAATGTATCCAGAAGAACTTTGCCGTTTGGCCTCTGTTGTTTTCAAGATCGTCGATGATGATAGTTCTTGCAATACTTCCCGGATTGCAGCCAAAAAAGAAGACTTTTTTTTACTACACGCTTATGAACTGCGGATTTTGACGGACTACAACTCTAGACACCAGGTTCCCTATGACAACTCGCTCTTTGATTCGGAGGATAAGTCAGATCAGTGGTGTTTGGCATATCTATGGTTCACAAAGGTTCAAATTATTGAATTGGTGGAACACTTTGAGATACCATCACGCTAATACTGCTTTAGCCGTCGTTCTCTACCATTTATTCTACCCTCATAGCTATATCGATATCATTAGTACAGTACGATGCCAGTCGTGAGCGTCAGGCACGGCGTCGCAACGCCACGCGCGCAACCAGATTTCCACAACCTTTTCACGGAGGGTTGGTACATAAGATATTGAATGTCAAATTATTGTTATTTATCTACTATTTAACAACTATACAAAAATTCAGCTCTCCAAAGGATTAATTGTGGTTGCTGTGCTGGTACCCGTGATTGTTCGGGGGGCGTTGCGACGCCGCGCCTGACGCTCACGACTGGCATCGTACTGTACCTTTGGGCACAGTCCATTATTGTTACCCCCTATTTTAAACAATATCTGTACTCACCTGTAACGGGGGCGGACGTTCTATGTATCGGCAGAATCCAATAGAATAGATGCGGCCATGCAAGATAGAAATCAAGTTGCAGATTATTCAAGATACGATTACTAGAACTCATTAATCTTTAAGGGCCCTGCTAACAAGTAGCATACTTGATAATTCTCTCATGAAGACTGGAGGAATCGGATCCTTGGACATAAGGGGTCCTAAATCCATCAGTTGATGCAATTCTTATGGAACAGCGGCTTGCAAATGCATCATTTGATTCATAAAGTCCTCAAGGGTTCAATAAATGAATCAGGCTACAAGTTTGCTGACGAGTTTACCGATGACATTCCCTACCGCTGACAATTTTAAATATGGCTTTCCGTAATGCCGATGATTTTATCTACACCTTTCCCTACTATATACTAATTTCCCTGTATCTTTACCTACAGTTTTCTCTACTATCAATGATTTTACCTACACTATTCCCTACGACTTTCATTTGGAATATTGTTAATTCGTAGGGAGTGGTTTAGGTACGATCGTCCACATTATGGAAGAGTAGGATCATCAAACAATGAATACTACTGTTCCTTGTATTTCTTCTCTCTACAGATTATTGACTTGGGTATTTTTTGATCTCAGGTTTGGGTACATATACCTATTCAGTTCCCTTATACATATTGGTTGTAACATCCCCTATTAATAAATAGAATGGTATAGGTGACAAGCCTCAAGTTAGATACTCCGAATGATTTATGTTCAATCCCCCCCATTCCTTTTACTTTCCGTCAGAAACATAAGCCGTAAAATAATTACTAAAATCGTAGACCTAACTGGTGCATTTACTGATGTATTTACTAATGCCTTTACTTATGCCCTTACTGATGCATTTACTAACGTATTTACTGATGCATGTCTACCGTTGTACATACATATAGCTGATATATAATTCAACTCTTGACGAAACGACGCTGTGATGCATTGGCGATGCATTAACTGATGCATTATCCATCTGTTTTAGGCGCTGGATTCGATACATTTACTGGCAGTTTTGACTGATGCATTTATGATGCATTTACTGATGCATTTCGTACGCTGGTAGAGAGAACGAAACGGCTGGAGAATACTTTCCGTGGAGTACTAATCGCTTTTCATTTAGAAGGAGGTCAACGAAGACTGACGGATAGGAAACGTACTCATGAAGGCAGAGACTGGACTCAAGGGTTGGGCATCGGTTTGGGGTTGGCAGATTGCAGTTACAAATTGAAGTCTGTTAGTGGCCGCTCTCGGTTTATTCGTCCTTGCACCCGCTCTGGCTCCAGCTCTGGCTCTGGCTCCGGCTCTAGCCCCAGCCCTGGCTCAGTTCCGGTTCAACCTGACTGCGGTTAATCTGACACGTAAGCCAGATTGTCAGAATGTAGATTGGGAACATGGTAAAACTCTCGATCTAGACTATATAACTAGGATACACCACCTAGACCTCGAATAAACCATCATCACTTCGTTCTACTCTTGAGTCTTCATTGCGGCCTAAGTGAACAGAACGCCACACAACGTACATCCATCCCTACATACACCTTTGGATCCTTTGTACGCCAATATCTCATTTAATGGTGATTCCTAAAAGAAAAGCAGCAGGTTGCCATAAATAAAAGCTATTCCGCCAAAACAACGTCCCCGAACACAATCACCAACCCGTATCCCCCATACCATATCATCTTCGAAATAGGCCCCACTGAGCTGTCTCATTCCCCCAGCGGCAGATCAACTATCCATACTATCTCACGTATGGCCCACCCATGAAACAATTTCCTTAACGCCTCATTCCGCCGTTCCGCTAGCTTCCGGCTCCGCTCGCTGGCACTCTCCTCCCCCACTTTCTACCTATCCGCCTCCGCCTTTAACTTCACCTGAACCTCAGCCCTCAATCTCGCGTGAACCTCCTCCATCTTCATCCCCGGCTGAACCTCCGCCTTCATCCTCGCTAGAACCTCCTCCCTCCGCCTTGTCCTACAACTTCCGGTCTTCGGCCTTTCACCCCCCTGCATCTGCGCCGAGTCCCCAACCTCTACACCGACGTTCTCGGCCTGCACATTCATCTGCTCACCCTCCACCTCCCCCACCACCCCCCCAAACCCACTTTCGGCAACTCCACTCCGTCCGGGAAGGGTGTTGTCCACCAACCCGTCAGCATTCATCCCCACAACCACCCCGGTTTCCGTCCTCTTCCACTCTGTCTCAGCCTTGAGCCTCTCAGTCTCCGCATCAATCATCATCTTTTTACTCCTCACCATCATTGCCTCTGCCTCCAGCCGTTCTGTCTCTGCCACCGCCCTCTCAGCTTCTTTCCACACCTTTATCGCCTCCGCCCTCAGCCTCTCCGTTTCCCTCCCTACATTTTCTGCCTGTGCCTTCAACCTTTCCATCTCCGCCACCGCCCTCTCCGTCTCTGCCCTAATAATCCTCTCCGCCATCTCACCACTCCCTGTGGCTGTTCCTCCGCCCTGCCCCGTCAGCGCCTCCACGTGGGCCACAGCCGCAAGCTTCGCAGCCGCCTCCACCGTCGCTGCCAGCCGTTGAAGCGCGAGCATGCATTACTCAGCGGGCAGTATCTCCTGCTGCTTGGATGAGATGAGGTGGTTCAGGGCCTGGGTAGCGAGGGCGAGAATGTCGGCGGTCTTACACCTGGGAGAGGGTTAGCTGTTGTTGTTGGAGGTGGGTGGGGGGTGTGTACGCTAGTGTCATGGTTGAGTGGAGTTTTGGACAAGCTGTGCGGTGCGGGGGAACTTGAAACTTGGAGGTTGAAGGTGTCAGTTGCGGTGTAACCTTGTATATATCCCTGCGCCCTATGCTTGGCTGGTTGGATGCCTAAATTACGCGCGCAGCGGGTTGCAACACTCTGAGTTATGATTGGCGGATGGGATATGTATGCGCATACCTCCATCACGCGCGTTGTCAGGCTGTTGGGGTAGTCAAGGCATTTGCTCGATGTGTTATTCTCAAGTAATAGGAACGAGACGATATTATTTTTTCTTTTTGTTTGATTGGCTACGGAGATAAAACCTGCCTTCTATGCAGGCCGCACACTCCACAGGAAAGGTATGGCTGACCAGCTCTACCATGGTACGAAATGCATCAGTAAATGCATCATAAATGCATCAGTGAAAGTCGTATAACGGGGCTACTATCAGACCGTTATAATAATACCTGTTCTACTAGTCAGAGCCATACGACCCTAGAGTAATCGCAGCTTGTTCTTCATCGATGGGTGAGGACAAGGGCAGGTGAGCCCCTACCTCTATTGGTATGGAGGGTAGGGATCTTAGCGAGCAATGAGCCTCATGAGTCACACCAGGGGATTGGATAAAACTAAAACAGAAGGACAAGCATGCCGATAGGAAGGGTAACCCCTAACATAAATTACCCTACCTTGGTGGTCGACCTTTGAGGTGCAATAACTTTGCAACCGATGTCCTGAAAATATGCTTTAGCACTTCAGAAAGGATGCTGGCGGCGCTCCGGTCAATTTGGGATAATCTAATAAACGCGTTGCGGAGTTGAGGAAACGCTGCAAAAAAACACGTTTTAGACCCCAAAAATAACCCACGGGGTGTCAAACCGCCGGAACCCTCCTGTTTCAGCCCGGTGCAACTTTGGGGAGTAGGAGTACGGCCCATGATACTAAAGCAAACCTCGCTTTACAGACACCAAATCTATTCTAAAAACAAATTGAATAAGCAATTGCCATCTGGTCGGTTGTTTCCGCTAGTTCTTAGGCTCCCAACCAGCTCTTAGCAGAGATTGCTTGATTTGACTCGGGCGGGAGTTCGTCCGAGGTGTGGTAGCAACTCCTCTCGCCCCTTATAGGAAATAGTTGCTGAGCCCCTGACTATTGACAGGCAGTTTGCCCGTCAGAAACAATGAACCTGAACAAGGGCCCCGAACTTCTATAAAGAACTCGGTAATGCCCCAAGTTGGCCTCTCATAATCATCGGATATTTACTAGCAAGAAGACCCTTTAAAGTTATTAAGTTTCTAGACTACAAATAACAATCAAGCAAAACAAATTCTATCTTTCTGTCGAACGAGTCCCATCATAACTCGTTCGCTTCTTTTTATCATTTCTACCTGATCAAAGTCACGGTCGTGCCCCATCATAGCACCCCCGTTACAAGTCGTCAGTCAATTTATCAAGCCTTGTTCCTAGAACGTGTGGATAATGTATCAATTAATGCATCAACTAATGCATCCTTAATTCATCACAGTCTCGTTTTGCCCAGAGTTCGGGAAATACTTATATCAGGAAAATAGAAATGCAAAAGTGTCGGATTTCTGAATCATGTGTTGAAATGCGTCAGTAAAGGCATCAGTAAACTTGAAGACATCAGTAAAAGCATCAGTAAAGGGATCAGTAAAGGCATCGGTAAAGAGATTAGTAAATGCACCATACCGAAGAACACTCCTGCCCTGATGTAAAACAAACGAACCTGGAGGGATTGAACCTGAATCCTTCCAATTATCTAGCTTAGACTTGGAGCTTAATACCTGTACCATTATAACTTTTCAATATATAGCACTTACTCAGCTAGTACAAGTAATACGTATAAGTTGACTCAATAGGCCCGGGTATATGTAGCCGAACTGGAGATCCAAAAATATCCAAGTCAATAATCAGTAGAGACAAGAAATACCAAGAACAGTACTAGTACTAGCAGTTTTCGTGGTCCGACGATTTTCCCTACTACACCTTTACCTACTGTCCACTATTTTACCTACACCTTTCCCTACTTTGAAGTACCGTCGACGATTTTACTACCTACACCTTTCCCTACTAAATACATACTGTCGACGATTTTCCCTACACCTTTCCCTACTGATTGACAATGTTCCTCAGGAAAGTTGTAGGGAAAGGTGTAGGTAAAATCGTCGACAGTACTTCAAAGTAGGGAAAGGTGTAGGTAAAATTGTCGACAGTAGGAAAAAGTGTAGGTAAAATTGTCGACAGTAGGTAAAGGTGTAGGTAAAATCGTCAGCAAATGTGTAGCCTGATGCATTTATTTAGGCCTCGACAAGCTTATGTATCAACTGATGCATTTGCAAGCCGCTTTCGTATGGGAAATGCATCAATTGATGCATTTCCTGTCGTGGTAGAGCGGTGTTTTTTTTTTTTTAATTCACTAATTGCATACAAGTCTACAATTAGGGAAACGCTCGACCTAGTTTTTTTAACTCCGCCACCGCTGAATCTCCTGTGTTTGGGATGATTACATGCGCACAGCCTGAGTCATAACGACCTTTGGACGGTTACTATGCTGACAACTTATTTAAGCTTATTTCTGGAATGCATTGGAGAGTTTGCGTTGCACAGAAAAGAAAGAAAAAAAGCCAATACACCAAAAGAGACTCCCGAATATAATACCATTCAATCCAACTACACTATCACTCTTGCGACGATTCCTGTGAGCGGTCAAATTCCCTAGCTCCGAGCCGGTGTAAGTAGCTCCTATATCTCTGGTACGGCTCATACATGAAGGGTTTTCTCAACAGCTCATGCTTGTGGTTCTCTGGTTACCGCCTCTCCTGGCCGACCTTCTCCGCCTCTGCCCGCACCACCTCCACAATCTTCGGGTCATTCTGCTTCAGTTTCCGGTGCGTCCCCGCCCTCAGTTGCTCCATCTCATCCAATACCCGGTCCAGCCCCGCCTTCAGCTTTTCATCCCTCGCCTTCCCCCTTGCGTTAAACTCCGCGAATAGAGTCGCTATACCCATCCTTTCCCTTTCCCACACCTGTGCCTCCTTCTTGACTTCATTGTTGAGGTTCTCTGCATCCACCTGCATACGCTCCATATCAGCCTTCAGCCCCTCCCCTTGCTTCTTGAAACATATCCCTGCGCCTCCAGTGCCGGGTCGGCGGAGTCCTTTCTGCCCGCCATCTCCGTCTTCAGCTACTTCGGCTGTGCCTCTGCAACAAGCCCCCCTTCCTCCTGGAATGGCAACCTCCGCATCACCCTCGCCGACCCGGTAAGATCCTTTCTCCCCACCGTCTTAATCTCCGCCAGCTTCCGCTCTTTCTCGGTCTTCCTCCCCTCCGTATCTGCCTGTAGCCTTTCGGCCCCCTCCTTGAAAGACCACCCCTGCGCCACTCGCGCCGAACTGTCAAGGTCCTTATCGTTCACCTTCTCAAACTCTATCTCCACCTTCTTCCGCTCTGTCTCAGACCTCAGCCTCTCCGTCTCCGCCGCCGCCCTCTCAGCCTCCCTCCCCACATTCTCCGCCTCCTCCTTCAGCCGCTCCGTCTCGGCCCTAATAATCCTCTCTATAATCTCACGCTTCCCTGCCGCTGCTCCTCCGCCCGCGATGCCCTGCACGGTCGGCACTTCTAATTGCGCCACCTCCGCGAGCTTCGCCGCAGCTTCGGCCGTCGAAACGAGCTGTCGCAGTGCTAGCGTGTAGTACTCCGCAGGGTGTGGGCTGGAGGACATGAGGTGATAGCGCGTGAGTGGCTAGCAATGAATTCAATGATACATCGGTTTAATAGTATAAACCGGTTCGACCGTTAATAATAACGAGATAGCTAGGACAGTTCGGATCTCTGTAGTTGATGGTTGAACTGAGACGGGCTTCTACTTGAATTGGTTCAAACTGTTTTACCATTAAGGCACGGAATTAGCCGGATCCCCACATTAGATAATCACTGTAGATCACTAGAAATCGATATCCCCTCTCTGTGACACATAAATACACATTCAGGGTTCTGCAGACCGAGTGTTTGGGGAGTCCAGGGGTCCGGAGATCTCCACATGACTCGGTGAGACTATGATGTGCCTTGATGAGCTCAGTATTTGCACCATGGTGTATGCAGTACAAACCATACAGGAATCCGGGGCATGCAGTTGGTACGGTTTGGGCTTTCAACTAAATGGTAATGGTGAAAGTAATACAGTTCTTCTTCACATACGAACCGGTTTAAGCTAATGGATTCATTGGTGGCTACGGTGAGATGGTTGGCCGTTTGGCATCTGGGAGTCGGTTAGTTGTGGTTGTGAACTTGTGGTGGGAGATGCCTGGGAGGTGGGTGCAGGAGTGTAGAGTGTGGAAGAGGGTACGTATGGGAGTGTCCTCTCCGGTATTTCTGACTTGCGGTACGGACGGTGGGGTTTAGGGTCATTTGTGCTGTGGGAAGCAAGCCTGAATATTGAAGTTCAAGGTTGTAAGAGAAGGTTGTGGTTCAGGAGCTTTATTTGAAACCTAGATTAGGCGCGCGGGTTGAAACGGTTTCCGCTTTATGATTAGTGATTCAGCCGCGACAGGCCTGAAAATGCAGCTGCAAAGTTTCGCGGTATTTTTGGCTTCTACTCCAATTCCAATTGCGCACGAGGGCGTGTATTTTGCGTTCCTTGATACCTACTGCAGAAGTACTTCAGTATCAGGGATAAGTGGGAAGCCACCCTTCACGCAACCTTGACAGCGTCCTATCTACTCATTTATCCATGATGCCAAGGCACATATATGTTTCCGCGTTGTTACGCTGGCCGCGGCTAGTGGGTCTACTCAACTTGTTGTTCTTTTTTTTTCTTTCTTTTTTGGTTAATTAATACTCAACCTGTTGTCCTGTCTTGCGTCAATCTGATAGGTTGGCCCACCTTGTCAGACAGTAAAACGAAAACACCGTGTCGCTCTAGATCTAGACTATATCACTAGACTAGATCTCCTAGACTGCCAATCAACCATCCTCGCTTCATTCTACTCTTTCCCTTTTAGAAATTAATGTTAAATGATACATCGGCGTAGAAAGCATCCGGGGGCTCCGGTAGAGGATACGTGCACGCTCTGCGGCGTTCTGTTCTCTTAGATTACAATGAAGACTGAAAACAGCTGGTTGACAACGAAAAATCTTCCGCCAAAACAACGTCCGCCGGACAAAATACCACCAATCACAATCCCCGGTACCCGATCACTTTCCGAAGAGAACTCTATGAACCGTCTCATTCCTCCTGCTTCCCAAGTATCTCCATTGTCACTGTTAAGGCTCATTCCCTAAAGCCATTTTCTGAACGCCTCAATATGCCGTTTCTCGAGTTTCTGCCTCTCCTCGTCGAGTCTCTCCGCCTCCAGTTTCTTCCGCTCTTCCTCCTCCTTCAGCTTTGTTAGAATGATTGCCCTCATCTCGGCCTGCATTTCCTGCGCCGTCTTACCCGTCTTGGCTCTCGCTTTGCGTGTTGTTTTGTGATTTCTGACCTTCGGTGTTTCAACCTCTAGCACCATCTCCACCTCCGGCCCGTCCATCTCTACTTCTGGCACACTCTCTGGCTCCGTACGGTCCAAGGGAGAGATCGCCCGCTCCTCCCGTACCGACCCGGCGAGATCCTTTCCCGACACCATCTCCCTCCCCGGCTTCCCCCGCTCTCTCTCCCCCTTCACCCTCACTTCCTCCGCCTTCAACCTCTCCCTCTCCGAATCAATCCTCATCTTCTCACTCCTCACCATCATCGCCTGCGCCTTCAGCCGCTCCGTCTCCGCCACCGCCCTCTCAGCCTCCTTCCCCACCTTCTCAGCCTCCGCCTTCAGCCGCTCCGTCTCGTTCTTTACCCTTTCCGCCTCGGCCCTTAGCCTTTCCGTACCACCACCCCCGCCCGTTGCTGTTCCTCCTCCGCCATGTGCCGTCACCGCCTGCACATGCGCGACCTCCGCGAGCTTCGCTGCGGCTTCGGCCGTTGCGACGAGTTGTCGCAGCGCCATAGTGCAGTGCTCCATCGGTAGAAGCGTCGTGAGGTGGTTTAGTGTGTGGGTGGTGTGGCTGAGCAGCGCGAGGATCTCGGAGCTGGGGTTGGGGTGAGTCTAATTGGGGGGCGGAAATGGGAAGCGGGGGATACGTACGGGAGGGTCATTTTTGACATTCTGTGGGAGGGCAGGAGGTTGGAGCTTGAGTGTGTAGCTGGCAATGCAAGAAGCTTATCAGCTCTACTTGTGGTTGCGTCGATGCCTAAATTACGCGCCACGGGTGGGGGTGGCGCTTGCAATGTCTCTTGCTGTAGGATTAATGCTTCAGCAGCGGGTAGGATGTATTGAAATCTTTATTTGCGTAGTTTCACCTTGTTCGGTGTCGTGATCCTTACACGATAGGCTATGCTCCAGTTAGAGGTGGTGAAGGTTATCTTTCTTTTTTTTTTTTTTAATTAGGTACCGTGACAAGGAACTATGCTTGACACGGTTCAGTCACGCAACCGCTGAACCATCTTTTTGGCACGATTTTTTACACCAGGCCTGAACAACAACAACCTTTGGATAGTTCTACGCTGACATCTTTAAGGGGTCATCTTCTGTTTTTAGGGATATAGAAATAAGCACGCAAATTTACTTGTCGACCACCCCATATCACTCCCGGAAAAACCGCGTGAATCATCTCATTGCCTCCACCCGTAGATCTATCTCCATTATCCGTATCACGGCTCATCCATAAAGCCATTTTGTCAAAATCTCACTCTTCCAGTTCTTGATTTTGGGCCTCTCCTCGAAGGCCTTCTTCGCCTCCTTCTTCTTCCGCTCCACCTCCACATCCGTCCTCGCCTTATCCTCCCCGGTCTTCGCACTCCCACCCTCCTGCACCCGCACCCAGCTTTTAATCTTCTTGTCGACCACTCCCGTATCCCCAGTCATTCTCTCCATCTCCGCCATCATCCCGACCGTCTCTCCCCCCAGCCGCTCCCAAGATATCCCCTGTGACTCCCGCGCCGATCCAGCACCATCCGTTAAATCCACCATCTCCGTCTCCGCCTTCTGCCGCTCTGTCTCTGCCCTAATCCCCTCCATCTTAACCGCCAGATTCCCCGCTTCCTTCTTGAAGTATTTCCGCTTCGTCTCCCGCGCCGACGCGGCATCGTCCTTCCCACCCCACACAGTCTCCCCCTCCACCTGTGTCCGCCCAATCAACGCCTCCTTCTTCCTCCGCCCCTGCTCCGCCATCGCCCACGCCCAATGAGCCTCAAGCTCCGGTGATTTCGCTTCGGGTACTGACGCCATAAACGCTTTCACGAACTTCTCTGTCTCCACCTTCGTTGGCTCCGCCTCTGCCTTAACGCTCGCCGTCTCGGCATCATTCCTGCTCTTTTCACTTCTCTCCATCGCCAGCCCCGCCTTCAACCTCTCCGTCTCCGCCAGCGCCATCGCGGTGTCTTTCGCCGCCTGCTCTGTCTCCACCGTAATCATCCCCTCCATCTCTACCTTCAGCCTGGCCCAAAAGGATCCCTCTTCCCCACCGACCCCGCAAAATGCTTATGCTTAACCCCCGAACCTCTCCCCCTGCACATCCATCCGCGCCGTCTCCGCATCGATCGTATCGCCTCGCCCTTCAGCCTCTCTGTCTTGGCGGGCTTCGCCGCGGCTTCGGTCGTTACGACGAGCTAGCATGCTGCGGGCCGTGGGCGGCGAAGACGAGGGTAGGTGCTGGAGCATGGCGGTGGTGCGGGCGAGAAGGCCGAGGATGTCGGAGATGTATTGGTGTGGTGAGTATCGTATAGGCTAGGGCGATAGTGGGGTTGGGGGGCATATGTACGCGAGGGTTGGCATTGTTGGCGTTTTGGGGGTGCTGTGCGGTGTGGAGGAGAGTGGAGGTTGGAGCTTGGGGATTGAACCTTGGAGGTTGTGAGTGGAGGTTGGAAGGGTGGGTTGTCGCTTGGTTGGTTGGAGGCCTTAATTACGCGCGGGGGTGGCGTGTGATCGGCGCTGTAACAGCCGAGTTGTGTACCTGCATGTTCCTGCTCTACGCCGGCTGCTAAAACTATGGCGCAAGAAGGCATGGAGGCAAGAAGGCATAGAGGAGGGCGTGTCAACTTCAGAGGAATCCTTTTTTGTATAGGAATTACAAGGAAATTCTACCGTTAGGCTAGGCGCTAGTATCATCATGGGAGCGGATATCCCAATTTTTCTATACCTTGATTGGCTGCAAACGCCGGGGTTTACACACCTACCCATCGTGGCTTGAGCCATATTGTGCCAATAAAAAAAGCCGGCGAACACAAGACCACCAACTCCCCTATTGCTATTTGTGGTAGGAGGAAGGTTGCATGGAATAAGGGCATTAGACAGGAAGAGTTTGCGGTAGGAGCTGTTGGTACTGGTTCAGGGCTAGGGTTTAGTGGGTCACGAACGGGTTCACAATTTAGTAGTTAATGGTCATTTTCTGTGTTTGGAAACAAGCAAGCAGGTTTACTAGAAAAATACCACATATTACTCCTGGAGACAGCCTGTGAATCGTCCCATTCCCTCTGCGCCCGCCTACATACCTATCTCCATTATCTCTCCTACCACTCATCCATAGAGCTATTTAATTTCTCACCACCTCATTCTCCTGTTTCCTGATGACTTTCTGCCGTCTCCTCACCGGTGTTTTCCGCCTTCTTCCGCTCTCTCTCCAAATTCATCCGGGCAATCTCCACCCACTTTCGCGCATGGTCCGCCATCCTCCGCTCATCCTCCTCGTTCCGCATCGCCTTGTAATAATCCATGCTCCGCGGCGTTGCCTCAATCTTTGCCTCCATCCTCGCCATATAACCCCCGGTCTTCGGCGTTTCCCCCTCCTGGACCTGTACCTCCTTCGCAACCCCCCTGCCGACCGTCTCCACCTCCACCTTCACCCACTCCGTCCCCGCCGTCACCCGTTCGGGCTCTGCCTTCCTCCTCTCGGTCGCCGCATTAGTCGTCAGCTTCTCACTCCGCGCCAGCATCGCCTGCGCCTTCAGCCGCTCAGTCTCCGCTACCGCCCTCTCCGTCTCCCTCGCGACCTTCTCCGCCTCGGCGTGTAGCCTCCCCGTCTCCGCCACCAACCTCGCAACCTCCTCGCTAGCCTTCTCCGTTCCACCGTTGACCCCCTGCCCCTCCCCACGCTTTTCACCTTCTCCATCTCCGTCATCACCTCCCCCGTCTGAGACAAATCCCGCCCCGAATTGTGGCCCAGCGCCTCCACATGCGCAACGTCAGCGAGCTTTCCCGCGGCCTGTACTATCGCGTTAAGTTGCGCCAGGGCGGACTTGCGCTCGTCGGCGCAGTGCAGGGCGTGCTGGCCGGACAGGACATGGCTTAGTGCACGGGTGGCGAGGGTGAGGAGGTCGGCGGTCTTGCACCTGGAGGGGGGTTAGCGGCGGTTGTGGGAGGTTGGTTTGGGGGGGGGAGGGTGCCTACGCTAGTGTCATGGTTCTATGGGGGCTTTGTACAACGTGGGAGGAGTGGTGGGTGGAGGTTGAAGCTGGGAGGTTGAAGGCATGGTGTGGATTGTCGTGCAAGGTTATCTACATATCTACCTGCGGTTGGGTTGGATGCCTAAATTCCGCGGTACTTCAGCTACGGACGAGATGGGCCCCATGTGCACGTTTTCGCGCTGTTCATGTTCGTGAGCGTTGCGACATCGGTTGTTCTCGCGTGCAATGGAGGAGATATTGTATTTTTTTTCTCTTTTTTTATTAGGTTGCCTACGGAGTCAAAGCTCCGTTTTTACGCAGGCCATGCTAAGAGAGAGGTAGGGATGAGTGGCCGGTTCGTTCGGCCGCAACCGCTGAACCGTGGTTTGGCACGGGGTTTTAAAACAAGCCCTAAACCAAGATAACCTTTGTATGGTTTCTACAATCAGATTTTCTTTACTACTCACTGCTCGAACACAAGGTTTCGGTTCGCGCAAAAAAAAAAGAAAGAAAGGAAAAGGAAAGAATCATTCCGCCAAAAACGCATCCCCACACTATCCCCTCAATCCCGTCACCATCTCCTACTCAGGAGCATGCGAGCTGCTCGCTAGTACGGTCTGGAGCATTATCTTCGCGACAAATGTCGTCGGACACTCTTGTCAGCCTCTGAACTGTGATATCTGTTCTGGATTGTGATATGGAAGCTGCTCTGACCTCCTGGTCAACACGCCCCGCCCACCAATATTCATGGCTGGTACGTCCCTTTCACCCAATCTTGACCACTGGGATAGGCAATCGGTGGATGAGACAGTATTGGCCAGTGGAGCCCCAGGGTTAACATTGATCACTGGGACGGCTACAAGGCATTCTCAACTGGAAACCTATTAGCTAGATATATTAGGTGAATATACATGATTGAGATTCATATGCAGTCTTTTAGCCATCGGAGACTAAGCTTCCAATGGGACCCATCTAATATGGACCTCCCGGGGCTTAGATCGGAGTGATCCTTCAAACACAAGGAGATATTTATCAATCTAACAAGTGAAAGTACAAATATCATACATTCCATGCCGCCATTTCTGCCTTTGTGTCAATCCGGTGTTCTAGAACGTGGTATGTTAAGACTATTCAATGGAAGTGGCAGCGGAGTACTGTTGGGCCAGCCCATACTTCAGGTATGGTTAGACGGGTTAGCGAACGGTGTCTCACTGGTTAAGGAACATTGTATTATCGGTGGCTGAGGGCCCAGTGGTCAATATCATCCCATTGATCAATGGGTTGACCCAGCCAAAAGGTTGATGGCTGGGTCCACGGGGGCGTCAACGGGCCGTGGGTTGAACGGGGCAGCCCGGGCCATAGGTTTTATTTGATGGGCCAGGTCGGGTGGAGGTCAATATTTGGCCCGGGTTAAATAGGCAGGCCCGGGCTTCAAGGTGCTCATACATTATTGGCGGTTCGAAGGAGGGTTCACAGACATTCATACATTCGTTACCCTAAGCGGCAGGGAAAACTACCGCACATTTGCAATCTTACCCACCTCTAGGCCACGAACATAATAAATCAAGCAGATGTAAACTAGTTCATATGGACGAACACCCCTATTCATGTAAGCCCGGGCTATTTAGCTTGCGCCAGGACGTGATTTTGATAGCATGGGCGGGGACAGGCCTGGCCCATTGACACCCTTGGGCTGGGAAGGGTTAGCGGACAGGGCGGAACGTCCACAGTTCTTACCGTTAGTTCACAACCCTTTTAGTATTAAAGCGTCATTTTCTGTGTTTTGAAATAACCAGACGAGTTTACTATCCAAGCACCACAAATTACTCTGCAAAAACCCCGCGAATCGTCTCACTGCCTCCGCGCTTGTCTAAACATCCCCATCAATTATCATTGATACGGCCGCGGCCATTGACGAAGCCACCGCCGTCTCAACATGTCGAGCCTCCGCATCTCCTCGACGTCCTCCCCCGCCTTCTTCCCTCCCCGCTCTGTCTTCCTGCCACCGCTCTCGCTGTCCACCGCCGGCTCGGCATACATACTGTCCGTCTCCGCCCTCATCCTCACCTTCTTTGCCTTGACATTCTCCCGAAAATATATCGCCTGCGACTCTTGCGCCCACCCGGGTAGATGCTGTACGTCTGCCACCGCCCTCTCAGCCACTTTTCGGGCCTCCATCGCCTCCGTCTCCGCCCTCTTCCACTCTATCTCCACCTTTAACCTCTCAGTTTGGGCATCAAGCTTCATGCTGTCACAGATCATCACCCTTGTGTGCGCCTTCACCTTCTCCATCTCCGCCACCAACCTCTCAACCTCCTTCTTGGCTCATTCCGCCACGGCCTCTGCCTCCACCTTTAGCACTTCCCCTCCGCCTTCATCCTCTCCGTCTCCGCATTGAGCTGATTCGTCTCCGCATCGATCCTAAGCTTCTCGCTCCTTGCCATCATCGCCTCCGCCTGAAGCTTCTCTGCCTCTGCCAGCGCCTTCGCAGCCCCGTTACCGGCCTTCTTTGTCTCAACTACCAACTGCTCGGTCTCCGCTCCCACCTTCAACCGCTTGGTCTCCGCATTCAGCCTCCCCGTCTCAGCATCTGTCTTCATCTTCTCACTTCGCACCATCATCGTCTCCGCCTTTAGCCGCTCCGTCTCTGCCACCCGCAACGCGGCTTCTGCCGTGGCGGCGAGCTGTCGCAGTACTGGTGTACAGCGCTCTGCGGGTTGGTCGGAGGACAGAAGGCGCTCTAGGGCTTGGGTGGTCCGGTCGAGTAGTGTAAGGATGTCTTTGCTGGTGCGGGGGTGAGTGCACTGTAAGGTGATGAGGGGGGAGGCGGGGTGGGGACATACGCGAGCGTCATTTTTGGTCCTCCGGTGGCCCGGTGCGGTGTGGCGGAGTTTAAGCTTGGAGGTTGTGAGTGCTTGGTTGTTGGAGGCCTAGATTTCGGGCGGGGGTTGCTTCATGATTCGAACTTTAGCCGCGGTGAGTGGCTGACTAAGCGGGCAAGATACCCACCGAGGACTGCAGTGATCCCAACGGTTGAAACCGGTTGTATTCGGAGGTCATACCATACCGAACTGAACTGAATTACATCTCCAACTGAACTGACCTCAACTGTCTTGAAACAGGGCGCTCGGCACATTTCATAGTTCTGGAAGATTCTCATCATTTCATTATAGTATTTGTCATCGGCGTATGACTCACTTTCCTATTAGTCATTCTATTACCCACACGTCCATGACTCATTATATTTCTTTTGTACTACCTTTCATTAGTATAAATACGGGGCATTCCCCCCTCTAGCTAGAACAATAACACGATAAATTACTTTACTTCTCCTACATACTTTCTCTAGGTTATGAGCCCGGAGACCACTCACGCTTATACACTCTTCACCATTTTTACCACAAAGTACACTTTCTCGTTTCACTTTCAATCATGTCTGAGAGGAGCATCAAAATTCCCGCACTCCCATGCAAGCTGGATGGTCAAGGCCATTACACTGTATGGAGGGACCTTGCTACCCGAATGTTGAAAGTTCACGATCTGTGGAACTTGGTCAATGGTTCGAGTAAGCGTCCCGTGTTGACAACCATCACCACTACTGTACCTACAACGGCACCACAAGCAACAGGAAGCGCAGCCGAGGCTGATGAAGACGAAGAAGAAACCTCCGACAATGCCGAAGAAATCAGCGATTGGGACAAGAAGGATAACCTCGCGGTCGTATTCCTCCAATCTAACATCGAATTCGAAGTTATTCTCACGCTGACACCAGCCAACACCGCACATCACCTCTGGACTCAACTCGAGGACAGATTCGATCGGAAAACCGTCGCATCCCTCCACTCGCTCCTCGCTAATGTCGTAACCCTACAGTACACACCCGACAAGGGCATCAAGGAACATCTAACCCAGTTTAACACTCTTTGGTCATCCCTCCTCACTAGAACTAGTAACTCTACGGACAAGACCAAAGACCCACTCGGTTACCACCTTCACCAACTCGCATCTGTCTCAGAAGCGAAGGCATCCTTCCTACTCTTCTCACTCCGGCACGAATCCCTCGAATCAGTCGTAGACAACCTACAAACCAAGCCCAACGTCACTTTCGATGACGTTTACGAAAAACTGTTGGATCTGGACTCACGGCGCAACAACGATGGACAGGCGGCTGGAGAAGCCTACACAATCAGGCGAGGAAACCCAGGACACGGAAACAACAACAGAGTCAGGAGGCCACGCAACAACGAAACAGGAAATCGGGACATCACATGCACCTGGTGCACCAAGAATGGAGAATATGCAAAAGGCCACACGCACAAAAATTGCCGGAAACTCAAAGCTTTCAGAGACAAGGAGAAGTCCGCTGCATCTGGCAATCTCAACGTCGCGTCTGGTACTGCATTTCACACAAAACTTGACCTCTCTTGGATCCCCGATCTTTCTGGGCTACCCGCACTCGAAGAAACTGATGTATTTACAATGCCGGTTGACTTCGACCTCACCAACTTCTCAGATGACACCTCGGATATTACCATGGAAGACTACTTTGGTTTCATTGCAGGACCTTCCACCACCGACAACAAGGCATGGATCTTCGACCCTGGTGCAACCAACCACATGACCGGAACGCTGGTTACCGACTCAACTCCCCACACTGGAACAGTTACCGTTGGAGGAGGTCGCAAACTCCAGATAACCGGAATTGGCAACGTCACCATCAACGGATCACATGGCCTGATCACTCTGCAGAATGTATTCTTGATCCCCGAATTAGGCAACACCAACCTGATGTCTTGGTCTTGCATCGCTAAAAAGGGATTCACCACAACTGGGACGGAAGACGGCTTTACCATCTACAAACCAAACAGCAAGGAAATCATCGGGATCGCTAACGCAAATAGTACTGGTCTTTACATTTTCGAAACCAAGGAACCCTGCGCACACCTCTCTGCCGCCACCAGCTTCTATGACTGGCACCAACGGCTCGGACATCTCCCCGCTTCCTCGCTCTCACGGCTTCGCACCATGGTCGCCGACCCCAAGTCTCTCCCCACATCTGGTCACATGGAAACATGCAACACATGTGAACTCGCCAAATCAACCAAGTCTCACCTCGCTCCCCTCACCGAACCACAATCCAAACAACCACTGGAACTAATACACTCAGATCTGAGCGGCAAGTTCTCGACTCCTTCTCTGGGCGGTTTTAGTTACTATATCACCTTCATCGACGATTACTCTAGGTACGCTCACCTCTACTTCCTTAAAAAGAAGTCAGATGCAGCAGCTGCCACGGAACGATATATCGCATACATGGAAAATCAATTGGACAAAACGGTTAAACGGTTTCGAAGCGACAACGGTGGCGAGTACATCTCCAATGACCTTCAACAATTCTTTGCCTTCAAAGGCATAAAGCATGAATTCACTGTACCTTACTCTCACGAATCAAATGGAACAGCAGAACGCTTTAACAGGACTATAGCAACAATGGCACGATCCGCCTTGCTCGACCACAACCTCCCAAAAAATCTATGGGCAGAAGCGATCAACACCATGGTAAACGTCAAAAACCGCCTCCCGCATAAGTCACTCCCGAATATGACACCATACGAAGCACTTACCGGCAAGAAACCCTTTATTGGGCACCTCCGATCCTTCGGTGAAACAATGTTCATACACATACCCGTCGAAGCACGACCAGCAGGAACAAAACTGGACGCAAGGGCAATAACGGGACAATTCTGCGGATACGGAGAGTCTGAAAAAATCTGTCGCGTCTACATACCATCACAAAGGAAAGTAGTTCTCTCTCGTCATTTTAGGTTTAAAGGTACATCCGTAGGGGAAGAAATCGAAGTCAAAACAAAAACCGACACACCCCCTAAACCAAAACAAATCGAGATCAAACAAGAACCACTCTCACGTCCGTCAACACCAAAACAACATAGAACATACGACGACGACCCAAGTGACGACGACATGATCAACCAACAGATAATGCGCGAAACCATGGAACATTTCTCCGACACTGATTCGGAAGACCACGCAAGTATAGTGGGGGCCGGCTATACGAGGCCCGCCACTGAATGTACCCCGCATGATGATAATGAAACAGATACTGATCAACCGAGACGTAACCCAGCAAGGGAACGGAAAGCTCCGGTCAGATACGGACACAACATCCAGCATGACACCACCCTAACAGAACCAACAAACTATCACCAAGCGATCAACAGTCCGGACTCCGAAAAATGGCAGAATGCTATGAAAGTTGAACTCGACTCACTCGCAAGGAATAACACATGGAATCTGGTCAACACACCGGATCACCGCAAACTGGTCGACTGCAAATGGGTATACAAAATTAAACTCGGGCCCGATGGCAACCCCATACGGTACAAAGCCCGACTAGTCGCAAAAGGTTTCTCACAGGTCCCTGGTCAAGATTTCGATCAAACCTATGCCCCCGTCACCCGATACGAATCCATCAGACTACTCCTCGCTCGCTGCCTTCAAACCGGTGGCCAATGCGATCAGATGGACGTCACAAGCGCATTTCTATACGGCGAACTTAAGGAAGAAATCTACATGAAATCTCCTCCAGGCTATCCTACTCCCGGCAAAGCATGCAAACTAATCAAATGCATCTACGGCCTCAAACAATCCTCAAGGGAATGGTATGCCCGCCTCTCAAAAGCGCTAATCAAAATAGGATTCAGAAAAGCAGATTTCGACCCTTGTGTCTTTATACACAAAACAGGGGAAGTTGTCATCGCAATATACGTGGACGACATCCTCATCTTCTATTGGTCCGCTGAACGCAAAAACCGCGTCAGCCTCCTCCTCCACTCTGAATTCGAAATGACGGAAACTGGCACAGCCAACTGGGCACTCGGAATCCACCTGATCCACACTAAGACTGGCATCATCCTATCACAAGAAGCCTATCTCAAGCGTGTACTTATCAAATACGGCTTCAACGAATCCAGACCTGTGGCAACACCCATCGACAACAACGTCCACCTCCAAAAAGGAACGGAAACTGAGAAAATCGACGATCCAACAATTTATCAGTCGATAATCGGTTCACTCATGTATGCAGTAATCGGCACTAGACCCGACCTCGCTTACACCGTCACCATGCTCTCGCAATTTTCCTCCTGTCCCACCAAGGCACATCTAGCTGCAGTCCATCGCGTCCTTCGCTACCTCAAGGGTACCCTCGATTGGTCACTCTTCTACGCCAAAACGCCACCAACTGCACTAATAGGCTATAGTGATGCAAGCTATGCCTCCGACATCGACGATCGCCGCTCATTCACCGGCCACTGCTTCATGCTAGGGGAAGCTCTCATCTCCTGGCGCTCTTATAAGCAACGATCCGTCGCCACTTCTACAACTGAAGCGGAATACATGGCCCTCTCAGACACCAGTCGACAACTGATCTGGTTAAGGAATGCAATCCACGAGCTGGAACGAAAACCGAATCTCTCTTTTATTTTACGAGGCGACAACAACGGCTCCCTCTCTTTGGTTAAAAATCCTGTCTTTCATAAAAGGTCTAAACACATTGACGTACATTTCCATTTTGTTCGGGAACGGTTTGAGGATGAATTATTTGAACTGGAATATATTTCTACGAACGAGAACGTGGCGGATTTACTTACAAAGGGATTGGATAAAGGCAAACATGTTTTATTTTCTTCTACTATTCACTGTGGCTCACGAGGGGAAGTCTTGAAACAGGGCGCTCGGCACATTTCATAGTTCTGGAAGATTCTCATCATTTCATTATAGTATTTGTCATCGGCGTATGACTCACTTTCCTATTAGTCATTCTATTACCCACACGTCCATGACTCATTATATTTCTTTTGTACTACCTTTCATTAGTATAAATACGGGGCATTCCCCCCTCTAGCTAGAACAATAACACGATAAATTACTTTACTTCTCCTACATACTTTCTCTAAACTGAACTTGATATTGGTTCTAATGTTTGACACCAGCCAAGGTGGCTCGAGCCTTGAGTACCCTGACTTCTGGGTGTAGCGTTTCCTTACAAGTAGGGCGCTACCCCAAAGTCAATACAATATAACAGTTCCCTGATCGATAGGGCTCCCGATTCGTATGTTCTGTTAGGTACGATGAACCCTGGACCGGACAGCACAGCACCATATCTCTAACTACACCTCGGAAACCCTCTACGCCGATGTCTCATTAAAATAGCTGGCTACCATAACCAAAAGACACCACGCCTAAACACCGTTCTTGAACGAAATACCACCAACCCCACTCCCCCGTACCCTACCATTCCCAAAAGATCCACTTTGAACAGTCGCATTCCCTCCTCCGCGGCCGGCTGCATAACGCCTGTAGAACTTCTTGAAATAGGGCGCTCGGCACGTTTCATAGTTCTGGAAGATTCTCATCATTTCATTATAGTATTTGTCATCGGCGCATGACTCACTTTCCTATTAGTCATTCTATTACTCACACGTCCATGACTCATTGCATCTCTTTTGTACTACCTTCCATTAGTATAAATACGGGGCATTCCCCCTTAGCTAGCACAATCAACACGAACAATTACTTTACTTCTCCTACATACTTTCTCTAGAACTGATGTACCTTGACCGGAAAAACAGTCCTCCGCCGCCTGCTTCTGCTGTTTCGGGAATTGCCGCCTCTCCTCGTCGGCCTTCTCTGCCTCCGCCGTCTCCCTCAGATGTGCATTCAGCATCATCTGAACATCTTTCGCTGTGGTCCTCGCCTGAGCATCTGCTTTTATCCAGGCTTGAACCTTCTCCGCCTTCGTTCCCGGCTGAACCTCCGCCCTCCTTGCCTTAGGACCCACGGTTTTGCCCCTTTCTCCCTCCCTCATCTGCACCACCTTCTCAACTACCTTACCGACCTTCCTTTCCTCTGCCATCATTCCCACTGTCTCTGCGTTCACCCTCTCCGCTCCCCCCTGCGGGGATATCCTCTTCGTCTCCCGCGCCGACTCTGCGAGATCCTTTACCACCACCACCGCCGCCTGAGTCTTAAACTTCTCGGTCCGGGCCACCACCGCCCAAGCCTCTTTCCCCACCTTCTCCACCTCTTTCCCCACCTTCTCCGCCTCCGCCTTCAGCTTCTGCGCCCCACTCCCCCCGTCCCGGGCCTAAGCCCTTCCGTATCACCCCTGCCTTTTTCTGCTCCTCCGCCCTGTGCAGTTATGGCCTGCACATGCGCGACCTCCGCGAGCTTCGCCGCTACCTGAACCGTTGCCGTGAGCTGCTGCAGCACCAGGGTGCAGTGCTCCTCGGGCAGAAGTGCTGGGAGTTGGTTCAGCGTGTGGGTGGTTTCGCTGAGCAGTGTGAGGATCTCGGAGCTGGTGGGGGGGGAGGGGGGGTCAGCCGAGCGATCAATGGTGAAGAGGGGATACGTACGGGAGTGTCATTTTTTGTATTCTGCGTGAGTGGAGGAGGCGCGTGAAGCTTGGAAGTGTAGGTTGTGATGCGAGCTTATATACCTGTGGTTGGTTGGATGGATGCCTGGCGCTTCGGATGCAGCCGGGATACGTACGTGATTGCTTCCATGCACCATTTCTGGCGATATAGGGCCGTGATCTTTACTTGATAGATTCTGCTGGAGGTTTTAAAGATAGAATTTGTTTTTTATTGCCTGTTCTTTGATTAGCTACCGAAACACAGCCTGGGTTTTATGCAGGTCACCCACACGACCCGCCGGGTTCAGCTACGTAGCCGCGCGCTAATCCACAATGTATCCCAGTTCTGACCTCCTCGCGAACGCTTTCCACCCACCGATGTTTTTGACTGGGATACTCTATTAACCAATGGGACGGTGTTGACCACTGGGCCGCCCCTGTCACTATTAAAGATCAGTGGGGTCCGAACCGGCAAAAGGAAGAATATTCATTAGCCTGCCACTCGCCCCGAACTTACTCCATCAACCTTGTAAGGTCTTAACTCATCCTGAGGTAGGCAACGTGTTCGTGCTGGATACTAATGTGTTTCACCGTGAACATGATCGGCACTGGGAAAGTGATATCACATTCGAAGACTCCCTCGCTGCCGTTTGAGGCCTCTTGACAAGACTTCGCGGCCACTCAATATAAGGAATTATATACGTTTTTTCAAAACCCTTGATGACCGGACCGCTGCCAAACCCTTCCCCCCTACAGTAAAGAGCTCTAAAGCATCTGTGGCGCTATCTAAATCATACTCTTTTGTCTTCTTCCGCTCTACTGTCCGCTGTTTCTCTGCCTCTAACAATATTTCTTTTTCTTCATGTTCTTTTCGCAACTGAACTACTAGATCTACTAATACTACAAGTGGTTTTGTTAATACTCTTTTTCTTTTTACCTTTTCTCACTCCTTCATACTAAATTCCTTCTCCCTAAGCTTTGTAATCTCCGCTCTCATAATGACATTTTCTGTACTTTCAACTGCAGCGGCTTTTACCAGTTACTCCACCATTCCCCTCCTATGAATTGAGGGGGTATTTTGAAATAGAACCATGGTACGCTTTGTATGACCCCATATACTCTTCCCATTTGTAGGGGTTCTGGGTGAGGTCAATGATGCGGGGCGGGCTTTGGTTGTCTCGACGCCGAGCTTGGAGCTGTCAAAAACCCGTCTGGGGTTGTATGGGTAAATTCCAGTTGCTTCAAATGCGCTTTTGATATTACTGACTGTATAGGTCCTTTCCCAAGCCTTTACTAACAATCTATAACACAATCATACCTAGGTTGACAATAGGACTGATTTCACATACGGGTAAAATGCTCCCTTGTATATCCCGTACCCATGACCTTCTAACCAATCATCTAATATAGTTGAATAATTCCGCTGCAGTGGGCCAAAGAGACCTACATTAAGCAGCTATAGGAGGTGTGTCGAATAGGTGGGTAGGTAAAGGGAAATGATATCATTGTTAAGGCAATAATCAAAGCTTTCTCATGCAACGTGTGATGTATGACCATCCATTATTAGTAACCTAGTATGTCCAGCTGCTCTATTGAGTATTATCTTATATTATGTAAGATTTTGGGTATGGTTACAGCTCTTTTATACTAGCATCAAAATCCTACAGCAAATAACCCAGTCCTATCTCTCTCTTGGTCCAGCCAGTACTCGAATAGCTAAAAAATGCTTTCACTCCCTCTTTGACCAATGCGTGCTAACCTTGATATTGTGCAACATCTTTGTAGCCAATCATAGGAGGTAATACTCGACCCATAGCTGATACTGTCTCTAGTACAGTAATTAATTCTCGTAGACCATCTTGTATTTTGAAATTCCCCTTATTTCCCTGCTTGCATATGACTTTAACGGCCGCTGGTTTTCCCATAAGAAATCCCTTGTTGTCTATGTTATTAGTGTCGCCTAGAATGGTTCGATGTGTTTTCACTACCTTCAACAGCTGATACAGAGTGTCAGTTTTAATAAGAATTCTACAATCGGTCTCATACGTTCTGAAAGAATACTCGAATGATTTGTGCATTGTTGGCAAACCCCGCTGTTTTTCTAGTCTTACATCAAATTTGGACTCTAGTTCGAGATGCCTAGTAATAAATCTGCTCGTCCAATTGGCCCCTAGAGCGGGACTTTTAACCCCGTTGCGTCCAACAACATGAGTTGCCATGTCTTTCACATTTTTCATCCGAGTCGGAAATCCCCAATCATATAGTCGAAGAATCCACTTGACAATTTCCTCTTCATCAATAGGAGTGAGCAGTTGCTGATATACATGAGCTTCTCCCTTGTGCCCCTTGCCGGCAAGACGGTTTCTGAACCTTCTGTAGGTAATCTCATGGGCGGTAGCGGCATCTTTGATATTTTTTAATTTGCCGCTCCTATAATCTTTAATGGTGGCTTGTGCTGGGGTTTCTGTGGGAGCGGAACTGGATTTTTGCTAGTGGGCTATAGTAAAGTGGAATTGATTCTTTGACGTGGTAAAGTATCACTCCGCTGGATCGTTGCCTTTCTATACTATGACTCCGCTGTATCCTCATGCATTCCATGAAGGGGCTTACAAATCTGAATCACCTTCCCGGATCCGATCATGTTCACGGTGAAACACGTTAATAGGCAACATAGGACGCTCGATTTCACCATTCACGAACAGGGTTTGCATAAACCTTTCAAACCGCCTGTATAACTCTACTCCAATCAGCGGAAAATACCCCTCTTCTAGTTCTCATTTAATCAGAGACTACTATTTCTTTATCTCTTTGGCCTCAAGAATGAGGTATCAACAACAACGAACACAAACGTCATCAAACTGGAGAGAGAAAGGAGCAACGAGCATACACAAACTCATGGCTGATGGAGCAAGCCTGTATCAACAGCAGGCTGAAGAGATCACCAGACTGAACCGGGGTGTCAGCAGCATAGCGAAGAAGAATCATAAACTCATTCGGCAAGTTCATTAGCTTGTATCAAGACTACGACAGTACCCTCCCCCGAGGATACCAGAAGATACCCGACCAAAAACTCAAGCAGAAATTGAAAGAAATACCCCCCCTACAGCAACGAAAATAGCGAAGACGACTATGACACGCACGATGAAGATAGAATACTCCCAGACCATAGCGAGTCTGAAAGTGACAAAGATATGGAAACCTAGGGTGAAAGCAAAGTACCTCCATCGTTACCATCGCTCTCACCAACACCACCAATGGCAACACCAGCATCATCAACACAGCCAGCAATATTACCACAACTGAAAGTGAGAACCCTTACTCCCCCGCCAGTGCAAGTCCGGCTGGACCAAACTCCCCCAACGAGCATCTCAGAACAAACTCACATTCCCCGCCTCTTCCCAGAGTTACAGTATTCATTACCCAACAGCGAAACCGGTTATACCGATGATTTAAACGGTTCATATAACTCATGATCATGAACTCGAACACCCTAGTTCCTGAGCTCTAACACCCAAATTCTCGAGCTCGAACACTTTATTTAAGAAGATGTATAGCTATTTTTGGGACTGTTATCATGTTGAGTATGCCAAGACATGAAACCCCAGTTTAAGCAGTGAAACCGGTTCAAACTGTCAAGATAGGCAGTTGGTACAGTTGGTACAGCTTGGGCTACTTGGTTTGGTGGTCGGTGCAGTTTTCTCTTATATTGCAACCGGTTCCAACCATTGGAAACCTTGACTCCCTGTGCCGCTTGCCCACCGGGTGAAATACCTAAATCTTCTTTATTCGTTGAGTGAAGTAGTTAGTATATGATCACACGTCGTCGCTTGCCTCCAGTTGTGGCATGAGGGCCGCCTTCGCGTAAGATGTATTTTGGCATTCTATCGCCGGATGGATCAGATTTTGGGCCTCTAACGAACTGAACTGAAGCAATCACCATATATCATGTCTTTGGAAAGATGATGACAATGTTAATTCAAAGTTCAACGTCTATCAATCGCTGGAGTTCACTAATGTTGAGACAGAACCATCAGAATATGTACAGCCGCATTTGAAAAGACTTGGCACCCTCCCTTATTGCGCCCGCGCGACCCCGTTAGCTTGTGAAAAACTATGGCGCCCCTGCACACCCGGGTCAATGATAGAAGCAACCGCAATAGAGATATAGCAGCTCTCACTGACTATGGCCTCGGATACAAGAGGATTGCGAAGCAGATCGGCATAAATCCTTCCACAGTAAGAAATGTTGTTAAGATATACAAAAAGCGGGGTCATGTTCTTGATGCGCCCAGAACCGGTAGACCTTCAAAAATTACAAAAGAAGTTCGGAGCCTAGTCAATTCAATTACCCTTGATAATCCTCGACCATCTCTCAACCAACTGACTAGATTGGTCCGACCTGATCTGGACGTTGGCCGCTCAACAGTTAATAAAGTTATCAAAGAGCTGGGTTTTAAGTTAATTGTTCCAAGAAAGAAACCCTGGTTCCGCAAAGACCAACAGAGAAAGAGATTAGAGTGGTGTAAGCTACGGAAAGCTTGGGCGAAAGCAAAATGGAGAAAGGTCGTTTGGTTGGATGAAGCAACATTTGACTACATTGCATATCAGCCAGGTCGGAAAGTCAGAGTTAAGCCTGGTTAAGAATTATTGGGCCAGAATTTAGCTGCCAGCTTTAAATCAGGACGGATTTCAGTCGGCTGTTGGGCAGCATATACCCATGGGAAACGGTCCCCACTTGTTCGAATTCGACGATGTGGTCCAGATGAAAGAGTCACAAAAAAGGATAGACTAGGCTTGAATGGGAGTCAATATGCCAAAGAAATATGCGAGCCATACCTGATACCATTTCTACAATCACTAGATCAACCTATCGAAGAGATCAAAGTGGTAGAAGACAAAGGACCATATCATTTTGGGCCATTAAACATTACTCTCAACAATACCTACGGTATCAACAAAATGCATACCCCAGCAAACTCTCCGGACCTAAATCCTATTGAGAATGTCTGGCATATTTTCAAAGCTAAACTCCGGAAAAGATTTACAAACAAAGAGAGAAAACCTCATAGTGCAGACCAGCTATGAGGGGCGATGCAGGAGGAATGGGGAACAATGGATCAAGAGGCTATGGATAGATTGATAGATACTATGCCTGAACGCATTGCAACTATAATTTCTGTACAAGGCGGTCACTCAAAGTGGTAAAACTCTCTTATTCAACCTGTATCGACATGTATCATTCCCGTTTTCTCTATATATCTATTTCATTATATTACGGCCTTGAGACCCATATGCGAAAGGGTGCCAAGACTTTTCAAACGCGGCTGTACAGTACGATGCCAGTCGTGAGCGTCAGGCGCAACCAGATTTCCACAACCTTTTCACGGCGGGTTGGTATACAAGATATTATATGTCAAATTATTGTTATTTATCTACTATTTAACAACTATACAAAAATTCAGCTCTCCAAAGGATCAATTGTGGTTGCTGTGCTGGCACCCGTGATGGTTCGGGGGGCGTTGCGACGCCGCGCCTGACGCCCACGACTGGCATCTGTATATATATACATGTGTTCTCCAGCGGGGTAGCCAACAACGAACGCCTCCATTTCAAGAACCATCCAGTCCATGAGGGAGCATTCCTAGGAGACGACCGCCATGGAAATCGTTCCTGGACAAGTGCTGTTCGTCTATGGACTAGTGCCCATTTAGTTGCTGCTACCTACTGATGAACCGGTCACGCTACCCAATGCTGGCGGTCAACTAGGTCAATCTATATGCCGATATCAGTGGATGAGGAGAGACAGGTGAATGGGTCAGAGCACCACTTTCTTCTCACCTCGGGTGGACTGTACTCTTACTTGGCCCGTTAGGGCACGATATCTCTAGCTCCACCTTTACATACGTTCTACGCGCAAATCTCATTAAAAAAAAAGGTGACTACGATAAACAAAAACTATTCCGCCAAAAAGACCGTCACCGATCGAGCTCAATATCACCAACCCCCATTTCCCGTAACCTATCACTTTCGCAAGAGCCCCCTGTGAACGATCTCATGCCCTCCGCGGCAGCCTAGGTATCTCCATTACTCCCCTTACGGCTCACCCATAAACATACTTTCTCAACCCCTGATCTTACCGGTCCCCAAGCCCCCGCCTCTCCTGGCCAACTTTCTCTGCCTCCACCTTCTGCCTCGCTGTCTCCGCCCTTAGCTTCGGCTGAATCACCGCCCTCATTATGACCAATCCACCCCACGGGCCGACTCTCGCCCTCCGCCCCGCACTACCCCACGCGCTACCTCACCCTTTCCCCCCCGGTCTCTACCCTGTCTCACGATCCTCTCTCTCCGTTCGTCCCCCCCGTCTAGTGGCACCTCCTTCTGAACCACCTTGCCAACCTTTCCCCCCTCCATCTGAACGCGCTCCGCCTCCAGCCCGCCCCAAAAGAACAACGGCCCCGCTCCCCGCGTAGACCTGGACAGATCCTTTCCACCCACCGTCTCGGCCTCAACCCTCTCCTGCCCCGTCTCCGCCTCCGCCTTCTGCCGCTGTGTCACGGACCTAAGCCTCTCTTTCTCAAACCTCATCCGCTCCGCCTCCGGGTCTGCCTTCAGCCTGTCCCAGAAGAATATTGTCTGGGTCTCCCGCGCTGACCCGGAAAGATCTTTCTGCCCCACCCTCTCCTCCTCCACCTTCACTTGCTTGTTCTCCACCCTCCCAGCCTCTTTCAGTACATTCTGGGCCTTCTCCTCCTCAATCAACCTCCTCTCCTCCGCTCTCATCCGCTCCGCTTCTGCCTCCCGCCTCTCCATCTCCGCGCGAATCCTCATCCTCTCACTCTTCATCACCATCGCCTCCGCCTTCAACCTCTCCGTCTCCGCCACAGCCCGCTCAGCCTCTGTCCGCACCTTCTCCGCCTCCGCCTCCGCCTCCACCTTCATCCGCTCTGTTTCTGCCTTGAACCTCTCCTCCCCCGCATCAGTCCCCACCTTTATCCGCTCTGTTTCTGCCTTGAACCTCTCCGCATCCGCCTCCGCCTCCACTTGCAACCTTTTGTTCTCCGCATTCATCCGCTCCGTCTCTGCCTTAAGCCTCTCCGTCTCAGCATCGATCTTCATCTTCTGCATCCGCACCATCATCGCCTCCGCCTTGAGCCGCTCCGTCTCTGCGAGCCGCGAAGCGGCTTCGGCTGTCGCGACGAACTGTCGCTGTGCCGTCGGGCAGTGCACGTTCTGGCCCGAGGAGATGAGGCGATTTAGCGTCTCGGTATTCCTGTCGAGGACTGTGAGGATCTCGGAGCTGGTGGTGGGGGGTTAGTGCATGCAGTACGGGGAGATGACGGGGAGGGGGGGGGATACGTACGCGAGTGCCATTTTGATTATTGTGTGCGGATCGGAGGAGATGGAAGCCTGGAGGTTGGGATGGAAGGTTATCTACCTGGGTTGGCTGGATGCCTAAATTACGCGCCCGGGGTGGGGCGGTTGCAACGTTATTCGCGGTATTGTTGGTGAGTCAGACGCGGATGGGATGGGTATGCAGCTGTATTCACCTTTTCACGCTGTTATGGAAAGTGATGTTTACTCGCCCGCAGGAGATGCTGGTTATGTTTTTTGTTGACTAGGTACCGAGAGACCAAGCCCGGTTTGTATGCAGGCCGCAATACCTCCGAGACAAGTAGGTGACGGACCCACCAAACCCTGACCCTGAAACCCAAACCCGCAGTTCCTACCACAAAAGGTAATACTGTAGTAATTCGTCTGAGCGGACAATCAAATCGATATTGAACTTACCTGTTCTGGTCATTTGTCTTGAAAACGCCTCCTAATTTTCCCTCGTACACTCTGTAAAGGCAACTTCGACGTCTGTGTAACTGTCTTTTGGGAAGAATTACTGCGGTGGGTGAGAGTAGGTGGTGTTCTCCTTCGTGGATGGTAGTTGGTGGCGGAATAGGTGTTTTTTTCTTTTCTTTTTTTTCTCTGTAAAGTAAACCATCGGATTCAAAAAATGAGTGTTAAAATGTAAGATGTCAGTGTAGAAATCATACCAGGGTCGTGGTGGGTGAGGCTTGGTGTAAAACCGCGCCAGCACACGGTCCAGCGGTTGCGTGGCTGAAGAGGTCAAGCATACCGCCACAGTTGCTACTACTAGTTTACAGCCTTTTTTCGTATTTAAAGGACATTTTCTTTATTTAAAAGCAAGTTTAATAGAACACCACATATTACGCTTGAAAAGCTCCCGTGAGTCGGCTCATTCCCGACGCGCGCCAAAGTATCTTCGTTGTCTCAATTGCGGCTCGAGCACATAAATAAACCCATTTCTTCAATAACTGCTGCAGTTCTCGGGCCCCGTCTCTCCTCGGCGGCCTTCTACACCCCTGCCCACTTCTCAACCTCCTCAGCGACCACCTCCGGCTCTACATAAAGCTGGCTCTTTCGCCCCTCGGACCCCCAACCCCACTGCCTACTACCCTTGGCCTCATATAAAGCCTGCTATTCCGCCCCGCGGAGCCACCAACTCCAGCACTAAGCACCCCCGACTCCACATAAAGCGAACTCTTCCCCTTTCCGGAATTTTCAGCGTCCTGCCGACCATCCTCGGCTCCACATACATACTGTCCGGCTCAGCCATAATCCGCTCTGTCTCCGTCTTCAGCCTCTCTTTCTCCGTCACAGCACTCTCAGCTGCTTTCGCAGTCTTTTCCGCCTCCGTCTTCATTTTTATCCGCTCGATCTGTGCATTCTTCTGCTCCATCTCCCACTTCAGCCTCTCATTCTCCACATTTATCTTCATCCTCCCACTCCTCGCCATCATGGCCTTCACCTTCGACCTCTCCGTTTCAGCCACCGCCCTCTCAGCCTCCTCCGTTTCCGTCTCTACTTTTTTCCGCTCCGTCTTTGCCTCACTAGGAACCTCTTGTTTCCCACCTTCAACCTCTCTATCTCGGCGTCAATCTTCGTTTTCTCGCCCCGCACCATCAACGCATCTGCTTTTAGCAGCTCGGTCCAGCGAGCCTCGCCGTGGCTTCGGCCGTCACAACGAGCTGTCGCGGCACCAGCACGCAGCGCTCCGCCGATTGGTCCGATGGCATGAGGTGGTTTAGCGTGTCGGGGGTGTGGTTGAGTAATGCGAGGATGTCGGAGCTAGTGGGAGGTAGGTGCAGTGCGGGGCAATGGTGGGGAAGGGAGGGGGTGGGATACGTACGCGAATGGTGTCATTTGTGCTATTTTGGAGGAGCTGTGCGGTGTGAAGTTGCTCGAAGCTTGGAAGTTGGGGGTTGGGGGTTGGAAGTGTGGATTTTGCCTGGTTGGAGGCGTAATTATGCGTGAATGCAACGGTTATTGGCGCTTCGGCTTCGGAGTGTAGGGTGGGGGGCTGCTGACGAAGTGGACGCCTAAGTACAGCTCCTACCAAGAAGTGTTCGTGATTGATTAGTACGCAAGGTCCGAGTGCGCGCGCGCCGGTGTCAACGATTTCAAGGACGATCACGCTAATGGTCAATATCGACCACAATTGAGTATAGAAACATTAGAAAATATATAGAATTAAATACAATTTAGTATCTTGTATACCACCGTGTTGCTTCAATAACTGCTGCCACCCTGTCTGGCATAGACCTCCATAATCTCTCAAAAATCTCATGAGATATCGAGTCCCAAACTGAAGGCAGGACTTCAGCCAGCCTCTTCCTTACTTTATCAGGTCCTCCAGGGGTATTTTTTATCTAGGGGTTGTGAATTTGAAACCATTTTTTGAGCTCTACTCAGACATGTTCACTTGGATTCAAACCGGGTGAATAAGGTGGTGCACCTCCACTTCTATACTATTTTCCTCGAACCATTCAGTGACAATTTTTGCTTTGTGAATAGGTGCATTATCTTGCATAAATCTGGCATCTCCAATGGTATTGTTGACACAGATTAGAACAGGTAGTAGGAGATGTTGTAGCATCTGTCGGTTGACTTCTTTGTTGATAGATTTGACAATAAAGGGTGTAAATGTTCCCTTATTTCGTCCTCAAAAACAACCCCAGGCAATTAAAGACACATCTCTCTCAGGCCTCTTAGGGGCTACACACTCCTTTAACTGTTTGTCAGGGAGGATTCTAAAAGCCAGGATTGACGGGGGTCTTTAGATTTTTCCAAACTACACTCACCGCTACAAACTACCCCTTCAAAGTCTTCGGCTGTCTAACCCCTTCTCTCCTCCGTCCAGTGTAGTCTCTCAGCTGCATCTATCTCAGATGAAGCCGATCTTTTCTTTGCCCTCCATTTTTTTATCCCCTCCTGTTTTAGAATTCTATCCACCGTATACAAGCAGACCTCGGATGCATTGGTGTCATGTAATTCTCATCTAGTCTGAGTACGCGAGGCTAGTGCTGTCTGCAGCAACTGTCTTTTGGCAAGTCTATTCAATTTTTCTGGATGGCATAGTCAAGGTAGATTCCATACGCTGGCTCGTACAATTGTTCTCTCAAGAAAACTCTTGATTGTTGACCATGGTCTGCTCATAATGTTGGCAACTTGAGAAATGCTCTGTATCGTATAATAAAGAGCAATGATCATTCCCTTCTCATAACGACCTCCTTGTTTTTAGTTGTTCTAAGCTGTTTACTGGGGGCAGCCCTTTCCTGGGACTGACATCGGCGGGATTAAATAAGGGGAGATCTCGATCGGGCATGGCTGCGGCGTTGGAGGTACTGGGCTAGTACGGCTACCGCACCACTTGTTGAGGAGCATCAATTTATGGGGCAATCAGGCGCGCGCATGCATACTGATAGACATCACGAGCACTTCTTGGTAGGAGCTGTATCGACACCTGAGTCCAAATATCTCTCACGCTCAATCTAGTGTTGGAGCGTCGCTTTCTGTAAGTGATATGTTATTCAATATTCATATCTAAATTCCAGTAGCGGTTCAATTTGCACAAGAAGAAAAAAAAGTAGGAGCACTATTCCGGCGAAAACGGCCGCCGGAACACAACACCTCCTGTTGCTCTAGAACAAGCACTCGAGAGTCTGTTCATTCCCTCCGCCGACCAATCTATCTCAATTATGTCTATTACGGCTCGAGTTCATAAATTCAGGCAGTTATTCAACATCTCACTCTTCCGGTTCTCGAGTTTCCGTCTCTCCTCGATGATCTGCGGCGCCTGCATATCACTTAAAATTATAAGGTGAACATATCATCGACAGATTAAGGGAATAGTTCAAGTGCCGATTGCTGAAAGCAGACAGGGCAATCCCCACAAGAAAGCAAAACCAAAGAGCTGAAACATTTAATTATAGCACCGAGTACGAGCCCCTAAATTGCCGAGTGGGTAGGCTTACAGGTTGCCATATTGTCCTGATGAGGAAATTTCCAAGGATTGACAAGGTTGCAGGTTCAAATCCTGCCGGGGTGAGGACTTAGGAGATATTAATCAAGGTTTCCTTTCCTGTCTTGGCATGTGGGTGGATTTCTGTTCGTGGAGAGAGTCTTCTCAGCACCCGGCGCCCAAATGGGACATGCGGAGAAAAATGCGGAGGAGTGTGGCTAAGATATTAGTGCTGGCATTGAGCCAGTTGGGGTATTCCGCATCCTGCTGAAGAAGCAACTAGTAGGGATAAAGGGTGAAGTCCTGTACTTGTACTGAAGATTGTAGTACACCGCTATAGACTACGGTCTGCATCCGAGTATGAATCAAACAAAAAAAAAAAAAAAAAACCGAGTACGACTATCCTACCAGTATTTGTGGGAGGAACTGAGGATTCGAGTTTAAGGGTCAGGGTTTCATGTGTCACTAAGCACTAAATTAGAATCTATTCGGTGCAGTAAGGTAAGGTCGTACTATTTTCCGCTTTTCTGGTAATTTACCGGAAATATGAGATGTAGGGGTTGGTCTTTTGCTGTTGAGTGGTAATTTAACTGAAATATCAGAGGACAAAGGGGTAAACAAAGTTCAGCTTGCTCTTTTAGGAGTTAGCGAATTTTTTTCTCAAGGTGTCCGGCTAGCCTTTGGGGGGTCACCCAGGGGAAGAGTGAAATACCCATTCGCTACCATTACCCTATGTAAAATCCTAATTCAAATCATACCTAATATCTTCCCCCATGGCCTAGATGGTACAGCTTCTATTGTACATGCAGGATGGTGCAGGTTTGGCCCCCGGTTATTCCAGCAATATATTTTTTTAAATACAGCAGTTATATTTGTCATGATATTAGGATGATACATCTTCTTGATCGGCTAGCCCATGCACTTCGATCTGCTATTGTTTGCTAATTCCATCCCCAAGTTCGGGTACCATAGGTCAATGGTAATTTACAATTTCGAAATTGTAACTTAGGGTAAGGGTTGCGGTCACAAACCGTCACCCACACACCCGCAGATCCTACCATGATGTACTTCACAAAAGCTTACTTTGTGTACTGAGAAATAAGAAAGTAAATTTACTATATAGACACCACATCTTAAGCTTGAAAATAGCCCGTGAATCTTCCCATTCGCTCCGCGCCGCCTAAGTAGATCCATTATCTCTCCGACAGCTCATCCATAAAGTGTTTTTCTCAACATCCCATTCTTCCGGTTCTTGGGCCCGGCCTTCCCGTGGTGAAAATTCTGCGTTCCTGTCTTCTCCCGTCCCATCACTACCCACTTCCGCGGGCTGTCTGTCCCCACTGTCTCCTCTCCGGCGTTCAGGTATCTCATAAGTATCTCCCGTTCCTCCCTGGGGGATCGCTCCTGGGTCGCTGCCTTCGTCTGTTCAGTCTTCGCATTAGTCTTCAGCTTTTTGGCCTTCGCTTGTATCGCCTCTGTCTTCGGCTTCTGTGTCTCCAAGAGCGTCGCAGCCTCCTTTCTGGCATTCTCGGACTCTGCCTCCTTCTTATCTCTTTCGGCCTTCAACATTTCCGCTTCTCCCTCTAACCTCCTAAGCCCCGGCTCCGCGTGGGGCGTCACTTTCTCGCTCTGCACCATGATTGCCTCCGCCTTCAACCTCTCAGCCTGCGCCGCCGCCCTAGCACCCTCTCTCCTAACCTTCTCCGCCTCCGCCCCTGCCTGCAAGGTCAACCACTCGATCTTCGCCTTCATCCGCTCTGTCTCCGCATCAATCCTCATCTTCTCGTTCTGCACTAACACCGTCTCCGCTTTCAACCTCTCCGTCTCCGCCAACGCCCTGGCAACCTCTCTCGCTACCTTCTCTCCCTCCGCTTGTCCCTCCACCCTCAAGCACTTAGTCTTCGCCTTCATCCGCTCGGTCCCCGTGTCAATCCTCTGCTTCTCAATTAACCCCTCAGCCTTCAACCTCGCGGTTTCAGCCACCGCCCTCTCAGCCTCTTTCCGAGCCCTCTCTGCCTCTGTCTGAACCTTCATCAGCGCCTTCTCCGCTTCGCACCTCATACGCTCCGTCTCCGCACCCATCTGCTCCGTTTGTGCCTTCAGCCTTGCTGTCTCCGCATTGGTGTTCATCTTCTTCATCATCCCCTCAACCTTCAACCTCTCCTTCGCAGCCACAGCCCTCTCAATCTCCTTCTCGGCCCTCTTTGCGTGACCCTCCGCCTCTGCCTTCAACCGCCCCGTTTCGGCCTTCAACCGCTCCGTCTCAGTCTCTGCCTTCATCTTCAAGCTCTGGGTCTCCGCCTTGACCCTCTCAGTCCCCGCCTCGGTGTTCATCTTCTCAATCATGGCCACAGCTTTTAGACGGGCCATCTCTGTACCAATCCTCATCCTCTGACTACCCACGACCGCCGCCTCCGCTTTTAGCCTCTCTGTCTCGGCTACTGCCCTCGCAGCCTCTTTCCCAACCTTCTCCATCTCCATTTCCGCCTCCACCTTCACCCGCTCCGTTTCAGCCTTTACCCTCTCCGTCGCAGTCTCCGCCTTCATCCTCAACCTCTCTGTCTCCGCCCTCACCCGCCCCGTCTCCGCATTGATCTTCATCTCCTCAGTCATCGCCTCCGCCTTCAACCTCTCCGTCTCCGCCACGAGCCTCTCAGCCTCTTTCCCCACCTTCCCCATCGACGCCTCCGCCTCCATCTTCATCCGCTCTGTCTTGGCCCTGAACTTCTCCGTTTTTGCCGCTGCCTTCGCGGTAACCCGCGCGGTCTCAGCGGTCATCAGCTCCGTTTGCGCGACCTTCGCTGTGGCTTCGGCTGTCGCGGCGAGCTGGCGCAGGGCTAGTGTGCTTTGCTCGGCCGATGGTTGGCCGGAGGAGAGGAGGTGGGTGAGCGTGTTGGTGGTCTGGCTGAGGAGGGCGAGCATCTCGGTGCTGGTTGGGGGTGGGGGTGAGTGCGGTGGAGGGCGATGGTGGGGAGGGGGTAGCTGGAGGTGAGTGCCATTTTTGGTTAGGGTTATTGAAGAGGAGATGTGCGGTGTGCTGGTTGGAGATTGAAGATTGAAGCTTGGAGCTTGGAGGGGATAGCTGTGCTGGTGCTTGGGTGGTTGGTTGGCTGGTTGGTTGGTTTGGAGGCCTAAATTAGGCGGTGGTGGCGTGGGAGTGGCGTTTTGTGGTTAGCGAGGCAGCCGCGGAGAAAGGGGGGGGGTGGATGACTAAGGCAGTTCACAAGAACATGTACCTGCATGTTTCTATACAAACACCAGGTTATCTTATCTTACTTATCCAATGGTGCGTCGAGTCATGCTGACTCTTTCTAAAAGAGTGGCTGGTGCTCTGATATCGCTATCCATTATTGGGTCCGAATCACGCTCTGGCCACCCACCCCCTTTCTCACCATCGTTTCTCCCGTGGCCCGTACAGCGACAGGTAATAAGTCATCAGACGGGACGCCACCAAAAACACGTTTGCAGCCAAAATTGTGGCTAGGTGGTCCGATGACTTATTACCCACCGCTGTACATATACATAGCACCCCCGAAAAAGGATCAGCCTTAATTTGACGGCCCACATATGGGGATACAGCTTCAACCCGAAAGATTGGTTATGCCAGAATTTACTCATATGGGAAGCTAACCTTTGATGTAGATTGACACTAGTCAGCCTGTTCTTTCGGGGGTAATAGATGGACGGAGATGGCCAATGTTTGAGTCTTGGAGGTGCATGTCGGGGACAGTCTGTGGGCGGTGGCCGTAGTTGTAATCGTTAAGATCACTGTCAACAGACTGACCCCTTGCTACACTCGTCTACGTAGTACATACGTATTGGATTCCTGCTATGCAGATCCCAGTTCAGTGCAGAATATTAGAGAATAACGACTAGTTATTTGTAATCATGGTACTTGCTCATCTCAAATCAAACCGGAAGGTTTACACGAAGGAAAAAAAACAGAAAAGTGACTCTACTACGGTGGGAAATGTATCTTGATATTGCATCCGTAAATGCATCCCATCTTTTTTAACGGTTACTCGCATGCGTCTAAATAATGTATCTGTATAATGCATCAACTAATGCATCACCAGTCCCACTTTACGATTTTACTGATTACTTTATCAATTCAGTGTTCAGTCAATTTGTCAGGCAATTCAGCGGTTTATTGGTCAGTCAATTCAGTCAATCCGGTGGTTTATTGGTCAGTTAAATTGTCAGTATATGGATTGGTAAATGTGTTCTGAATTTCAATGGGATAAAAGTGAAATACAATGCCGGAATCGAACTTGAACTACTGTACGTAACTAGCCCACGACTTACCACATACACCATCCGTTGCTATCCGTTGATATATCGATGGAATAAATCGCCAATATATCAGTAACAGAGTGGAGGCTCATACACCTAAGCGATGAATGGAATTTTACTCAGTCCAAAATTGGGAGAGATCTCAAATACCCCGGGCAGCAGACCCCAATACTAGCCTATATGACGACTTTCCCTACTGGGACTGATTTAGTAACCAGTAACGAATTTCCGAGAATATTCCTATCACATTTCTAGAAGACATCTCTACAACTTGACTGATGTTTTTCAATTTAGAATGCATTTACTGACGAATTTTGTCTAGAGATGCGTCCGAAAAGCCGTCTGGAAAATTGCATTTAAAGTCGTTAGTAGTTAAAATCAGTAGACTAATAGGAATAGTCATTGCTTAATGTGGTGATTGGATGGGTAGATGCGTAAATGTATTAGTCAAACTATTGGTAAATGTGTTGGTAAATGTGTTCTATTGAGTAAACACGTCTGTCTACCCTCAACGATTTTCCGAACCACTTTCCACACCACTTTCCCCAGGGATCTCTGGACAAAACTCGTCAGGTAATGTGTTCTGGGTGGAAAACCATCAGTAAATTAATCCATAATGCATCGCGCCTACGAGTTTACACAAGACACGACAGGTTATGCATCAATTGATGTATAAACCGCCGTAGTAGAGAGCGGAATCAGTGCGAACACAATCCCCGAACACACCCGACCAACTACAACGCGCCCCTATAACTATATGAACATAGTGTACGTGTTTGTGTGTGATACTAGTAGGGTAGAGGTACATAGCACGAACTGTGGCTACATAGTTACTGTGGCCTGTGGGTACTGGGGGATTGGTAACGAGAGACCGTGGCCGATGGCAACTACAACAGTATATATATCAGAAAGTGGAGGAAGACTTCAAGTTAGGATCTCCATCGTTATGTAGCTCCAATGAGACTTACGCCTATCATTCTGCTTTGCTCCACTATCTCTCGAAAAACACCCGCAGTGGAAACAGAATAGTCATCGAACTCACCTCCGCGCCCGCGACTAATTCTCTCCATATTCTCTGCTACGGCTCATCCATCAACCCATTTTCGCAACATCTCACCCTTCCGGTTTCTTAGTTTCAGCCTCTCCTCAGCGACCTGCTCCACCTCCTTCTTCTTCCACTCGTCTTCGGCCTCTATCCTCGCCTCATCATCCTCGGCCTCCGGCCTACCCCCCCGCCCAACCTCCTTGCCGACCACCCCCGGCTGCGCATGCATACTCCCCATCTCCGCCATCACCCCTCCGTCTCCGCATTCAGCATATCACCCTCCGCACCAATGCGCATCCTCCTCTCGTCACGCCTTGCCATTAGCTCCGCATGGAGCTCATCCACCTCTTCCACCCCACGAGCATCCTCCTCCTCCTCCCTGTTTTTCCCTGCCTCCGCCTCTGTCCACAGCACCGACCCCCGCGCCACAGCCGCTTGAACCTTCATCCGTTCCGTCTCCGCGACAATCTGCGCCGTCCCGGCCTTGAGGCGCTCGATCTCCGCGTCGGTTTTGAGCTGCTCGTTGCGCGAGATAAGAGCTTCCGCTTTTAGCCGCTCCGTATCGAGAGCGTTTTGTTAACGAAGTGCGGCGATGTATATTTTTACGTTGTAGCAAATGCGTGGTGGGGAATTGAGTTACTTGTAGGGGAGTTCGTCAAAGGAGTATCGAAGGTTATCGGCGGTGTGTGGCGGAGCCATTAACTGGTGACGGGTTCATGAGGTCCCTTCAGTGCCGCCCCCGCGAGGGGAAGGGGTGGGCAATCGAGATGAGAGGAGCGAAGGGCAAAGTTAATCCGTGTAAAAGCAACTAGCGCTCGCGAGGTCGGCCACTGATACTGAATCGTGTACTCATTTATCGAATGCAACAGTTTAATTGACACAAAAAAAGAAGACTATTCCGCCCAAAAACATCCCCGAACACACACCAGCATGGTCAAATTACTATAAATCTCTCATTACTATATGGGCTGTGCGTATTTGTGTGTGGCTACATGTAGTGATGTAGAGGTGGCAGGAACGGTGGCTAGTTGGTAAGGCTTGAGCATCGGCGAGGAGGGCACGCAAGGAGCGGTAGTGGGAATTCGGTGATAAGTACGAGTGTATAAGGAAGCGGAGGAGGGCTTCTAATCAGGGTCTTCTATCAGGATCTGCGTCTACTATACTGCGTACTTCACTATCGCTCGTGCAGATGGCAACGCCGTCTAATTTCCCTCCGCAACCACCCAAGTAGACTAAGGTACGTCGATAGATGATAACTTCAATTGATCCTAGCTCTAAGAGGAGCACTGAGGAGCTCTCGCTGTTAGCCTCCTTCTATGATGACATTAACCTGGTGGGCTGTCAAGACTACACTCTGTCCCCGCCTATTACAAGGCACCTTACTTGAGAAACTGTCCTGACTTTTCAGCCTCATCATAGTCACATGACTTGCTCTGTACATACTATTCTCCTATTCCCACTACACAACTACCACTCACTCAGTTCATACCTCCTCTCCGCCTCCGCCTCAATTTCTGCCTCCATCTCCGCCTCTCTCCTCTCTGCCTCCCACTCCCTCGCCTCCTTCTGTGCCTTCATCATATCCCTCTGCGCATACAGCTTCTCCGTCTCCGCCTGCACCCTCCTCAGGTCCCTCGCAGCCCGCTTCACCGCCGCCTCCTCCTGCGTCTTCACAACCTCCGTCTCGGCCTTCAGCCTCTCCGTCTCAGCATGGAGCCGAGCGGTCTCTGCATCGATCTTGAGCGTTTCGCTACGCACCATCATCGCCTCCGCTTTGATCTTCTCGGTCTCGGCGAGACGCGCTGCGGCGTCGGTTGTTGTGGCGAGCTGGGTTAGGGCGGATTTGAGCTCGGAGGAGGAGAGGAGGGCGTGTTGGCTGGGTGAGGTTACGTGGTTCAGGGCGTGGGTGGCGAGGGCGAGGAGGTCGGCGGTGGTGCAGCTGGGAGTGTTAGTGACGCTAGTTGTGGGGGGGGGGGGGTGCGTACGGGAGTGTCATGGTTGCGTGGGGGGTTTTAGACGAGCTGTGCGGGCGCAATGGTGGAACTTGAGGCTCAGAGGTTGAAAGTGCGGTTGTCGCGCAAGCTTATGCATATGCTTGGTTGGAGGCCTGATTATGCGAGGTTGCGACACGTATTAGCGCTTCGGCAGCGGAGAGGGTGGGGGGGGGGAGGCTGACTAAGTGTACAACACGAGTATGTACGATATCAGAAATGGCTGCAAACCTGATACCTCATTAATATAGTATTGTGAGAGTGCGTCGCTTTATCGCAGGATTTGAAAGAAGTGTACGGTAGTGTTACGGCAGCAGTACAGCATTGCCGGAGAGTGAGGTAGTCGTTTCAGCCGTGTTTCTGTCACTATATATACTACAGTAATTTCTCTCAGCGGGGACTCGCAGTGGCGTTGAAAATACTTGTTCTGGTGATTTGTCTTGAAAATGCTCCCCAAATCTTCGCTCATATGCGGTGTAAAGATAACTTGGACGTCTGTGTAACCGTCCGGTGAGAAGAATTACTGCGGTACCTGCCTGCTAGTACCTCTCACACCCCATCTGTGGATGTTTCTACTTTTGTATGTGGTATACTATTTAATATTCATTCCTCAACCCAAAAGCTAGTGTAATTTGCACGAACCAAAAAAATGAAAAAAAAGAAAACCATCCGCCAAGAGTCACTCCCGAAACACAACACGACCACCAACCCCCAACCCCTCCTAATACTCTCGACAGAGTACCAGTGAACCATCCCCCCTCCGCGCCCACCGATGTACTGTTACAGGAACTACGGAACACTGTTCTAGAGGCTTATGACAGTGAGGAATACGAGTGACGGGTTGTGATGCGAAGGGCGGTCGGGTAACGGAAGGACGAGCATAGAAAGGTATCGGGTAGTGTGGGGGCACGCGGTGTTACCACACTAGTACTATACTATTATGACGGCACGCTTACTATTGTGTGTCTCACCCGAAATAGAATAGGAAGCGGGGCTTATGGCTGTAGGCTGTTCTACTTAGGGAAGTAGGTCTAGGATAATAGTATGGAACAGCCCGATGACTGGCAATTGCAAGGTTCATGGTTACGTGTCGGAATTAGAAGGGAGGACGGAACTTTGCGGGGGCGCTTTTCTATCTGGATTATCTTCGGGAGCATTATCTTATTTTATTATCGTTGTATCAGTTAGTACTAGAAAGCGGGCCTTGGCATAGGTTCCAACATGTATAAATAGGGCTGGATTCCGCGAAGACTTGAGGGTATCATCAAACCACCAAGTCAAGGGAATCCGGTTTACAATATCATCAGTTTAAACGCTACAGAATTATCGCTTAGCACTGGCTATTTCCCCAAACATGTACCTTCCTCTTCTGCTGACTCCCCACTCTCCGCTTCTCCTGCTCGCCCTTGTCCGCCGCCGGCTTCCTCTGCTCCGTCTCCGCCTTCATCCTCCCGTGAAACACCACCTCCGACATCGTCTCATCATCACCTGATTTCGGCCTTTCCCCCTCCTGCGATTGCACCGGCTTCTCGGTCTCCTTGCTGGCCTTTCGCGCCTCCACCTTCACCCGCTCCACCTCCGCATCAATCCTCATCTTTTCAATCATGGCCTCCGCCTTCACCCTCTCCGTCTCCGCATTCAGTCTCTCCGTCTCCGCATCGATCCTTATCTTCTCAATCATCGCCTCTGTCTTCACCCTCTCGGTCTCCAACGCCGCTCTCCGAGCCTCCCTCTCAGCCTCCTTCTCAGCCTTCTCCGTCTCCGCCTTCACCCTCCCCGTCTCCGCATCGATCATCATCTTCTCAATCATTGCCTCCACCTTCACCCTCTCCGTCTCCGCCTTCACCCTCTCAACCTCCCTACCAGCCTTCTCCGCCTCCGCTTTAAGTATCTCCATCTCCGCATTGATCTTGAGCGTCTCGCTCCGCACCATCATCGCCTCCGCCTTCAGCTTCTCCGTCTCTGCCACCCTCGCCGCGGCTTCGGCTGTTATGATGAGCCCCTGCAGGGCGAGACGGCAGTGCTCCGCGGGTACATACGCGTGTGTGTCGGGGGAGGAGACGCGCCCGAGCGTTTGGGCGGTGTGGTTGAGGACGGCGAGGATCTCGGAGCTGGTTTGGGTGGTGGGTTAGTGGAGGCGATGAGGGGGAAGGGAGAGGGGCGTACGCGAGTGTCATTTTTGGTGTTTCGGGAGTGCTGTACAGTGTGGAGGAGCTTCGGCCTTGGAGGGGCAGAGGGCAGAGGTTGGAAGTGTAGGTTGTCGCTTAGTTTGTTGGTTGAACAGTTGGACGCCTAAATTACGCGCCCGTGGTGGGGGTTGCAACGTTTTCGTCTCTGGTTGGCGGACGGGATATGTATCAAACTCGAATCGCTTAATTCACGTTTTCGCGCTGTCCGGCTTGATCTTTGCTCGATAGGTTATGCTCGGTAGTTAAGATCATGTAGGGGATAATGGGTTTTTTTGGTTGGCTGCGGGGGCAGAGCTTAGTTTTATGCAGGTCTCACACACTGCGAGTATGGTTGACCCGGCCGGTTCAACCAGCCAACTACTGGGCGTGTTTTGTCATAATCTTTCCTACACTGACAATTTATTTAATATTCATTTTTTGAATCATTTTAATTTGCACAAAAGGTAAAATAAAAAATAAAAAAAAAGTAAGAAACTCTTTACAGACATAAGCCTACTAACTCTCTCATATTACTATTACTCTTGAAAAAGTATGTCTATGTGGACCAAGTTATTGCCTCGGAGCCCGCCCAAGTATCTCTATTACCACCGTCACCGCTCATCCATGCATCAATTTTCTCAAGCCCTCATTGTTCCGGTGCTTAAGCTTCCGTATCTCGGCCCTCTCCCTCGCCGCATTCTTTCGCTTCAGCTTCTCAACCTCCGCATCAATCCTAATCTTCTGAAGCCTCTCCGCCTCAGCCTCGAACTCCAGCCTCTCCGTCTCCGCCGCCCTCTCAGCCTCTTTCGCTGACTTCTCCGCTTCCGCTATCATCCCCTCCGTCTCTGCGTCCAGCTTCTCCGTTCCCCCTCGGCAGATATTCTCTGTGTCTCCCCCGCCGCCCACCCATTTTCCGTCATCCGCTCCATCTCCGCCTTTAGTCTCTCCAGCTCCGACTAAATATACATCTTCGCACTCCTCACCATCATCAGCCACTCCGCTTGCGCCACCGCTTTGTCAGCTTCGTTCGGCACCCTCCCCTCCGCCTCCACCTTCATCCGCTCGGTCCCGGCCTTTAATCTTTCTGTCTCCGCCTCCGTCTCCGCGTGCACCTTCAACCTGTCGGTCCCCACCTTCACCCGCTCGGTCTCCGCCTGGACCCTCTCCCTCTCTGCATCAATCTTCATCCTCTCACTCCGCACCACCATCGCCTCCGCCTTCAGCCGCTCCGTCTCAGCGAGTTTCGCCGCGGCATCCGCCGTCGACGCGAGCTGCTGCAGCGCTAGCCTGCTGTGTTCCGCTGGCAGGTCGGTCGTGATGAGGTGGGTTAGGGCTTGGGTTGTGTGGGTGAGTAGCGTCAGAATCTCGGAGCTGGTGCGGGGGTTAGCGTAGGGCGGTGATGGGAGGGGGAGTTACGTACGCGAGTGTCATTTTTGATATTCTACGTGGAGAAGATATACGGAAGGGCTCTCGTACGTGGGAGTGGTGGTGCGCGGAAGTGTAGGTTGTGAGGAAAGGTTATCTACCTGCGATTGGCCGTGGGATGCCTAAATTATGCGCCCGGGGGTGGGGGTGGGAGTTGGGGCGTTTTCAGCTGTACGAGTGGCGCCTCTGCCATGGGTGGGCATCCGGGGTGTCCCTATGTGCACGTTTATAGCCTGGGATCTTCACCCGTTGGCTTATGTATGCTCGAGTAAGATGAAAGATATGGTGGTTTCCTTTTCTCTCTTGGTAACTAGTCATGGAGATAAATCCAGGTTTTTCTGCAGGTAACACACACTACAGGTTAGGTAGGAGGTAGCTTAACCGTATCAGCCACGGAACCGCTTAATGTACCGTGTTTGGGCACGATTGCATAATACACCCGTGACAAAGGCTGGGGATTGAGGAACGGAATCCTATACCGGGGCGTTGTCCAATAGATCCCTCAGCTAGGAATGCCACATCTGCGCTTATCCGACAAACAGTGGTTGCCGGCGTTCAAACCTAGTTGGTCCAGCCAGTGTTTGCAACGGTTCTTCAGTTTATCAGTTCAAACTTGTTTTCTAGAACCTTTGAAGAAAACAGTTCAGTTTAGTTATGACTATTCACTATTTGCTTCAGTTCAGTTTGTGGCTTGGGATAAACCGGTTTTCCATGCAGGTGGAACTCCTCATACAAAGTATGAACACCTTATCAAGACCAACCCTAACCCAGAAGATTTTTAATTTAGACTTCCTCCCAGACTAGTGCAAAGACATCAGAACCGTTCTGTAATATAAACCGGTTTTTATTCGGTCGGTTCAGTTGTCGACCATTTTATTCAGTTCAGTTCGGTTCTGCTGAAGCTAACCGTTGGAAACACTGCCGGCCTTAGGTGCTCAAGAACATATGTGCATTTGAATGCATGCGTGATATATTATAAAATCCTACGAAACACACTACCAGTGTACTTTATTGTTTTGCTGGGATGAACTAGTGATTTAACATCCAATAGGTTGCTCGCTAGAATATATGCAATTTCGAGATTGACCCCACAACATTGACATTACCGGCACTACAGCTGGCGCTGCACCGTAACTATTAGGGTTGTCGGACAGAATAGTGTGTTCGTGATGGGGGCGCCAAAGCGACCCCGATCATAGGTAGCATGTCCCATTCACGAAGGTTCTTGAACGGGGAGCGTTCGTAACATATGCGCTAAGCCTGAGCCACAACAACGTTTGAATGGCTTTTACACTGAGAGCTTATTTAAACCCATCTCTCAAGTCCTACAGCAGGTTCAATTTGCACGAAAAAAGACAAAAAAAAAAACTATTATGCCAAAAGCTTACCCCACAATACCACCATCTCAAACCCCCCCATTTACTCTCTAAAAAATCCTAGTCAACAGTCTCATTTCCCCCCCGCCCGTTCGCCTAACTATCTCCACGCTTCTTAAACGCATAACCCCATCCTGCTAACACCTGCCTGTTCTGGATCTCGGTTTTCCGCCTCTCCGTCTCCTCCGCATCCACCTCCGTCTCTGTCTCTGTCTGCGGCACCGTCTCTGTCTGCGGCAGCGGAACGGGCAGCGACACGGTCCTCTCAGCCTCTTTCACTACTGCCCTCTCATCCTCTTTCTCCACCCCGCCCGCCTCCGCCTCTGACTTCAATCCCTCCATGCCGCCCTCCACCATTTCGCCCTGGCCTCAACAAGCCTCTCTGCGATCAGCCCTTCGGTATCACCCCTCCCCACCGCGGCTCCCGCGGCCGCCGCCGCGCTCTGCGTCGTCAACGCCTCCACATGCGCAACCTCCGCGAGCTTCGCCGCGGCTTCGGCCGTGGCGAGGAGCTGTCGCAGCGCCAGCGTGCAGTGCTTCGCGCGCGGCGGCCCCTGTGTGTCGGACAACATTAGTTGGTTCAGCGTGTTGGTGGTGTGCCCGAGCAGTGTGAGGATGTCTGAGCTGGCGCGGGGGTGAGTGCTGTGCACGGCGATGATGGGGAAAGTGGGGGGCGGGATAGGATACGCACGCGAGTGTCATTTTTGGTCTTTCGGGGGCGCTGTGTAGTGTGGAGGAGCTTGGGCTTGGAGGTTGGAGGTTAGAGGTTGGAGGTTGGAAGTGTAGATTGTCACCTGCTTCAGCGCCGGGGAGGGGTCGGGGGTGGATGACTAAGTGGACAGGATATGTATGGTACCCTGGTCTGAAAGGGGACAAAAATTCAATCGCGAATAACTTTACCACCAAACGGAATAAAAGAAATCAGTATAAGCAAGGTGTGGAAGTAGTGATGAAGTTTACATTCATTGAACAGATTTCTGATATCTATCCTAGTTGTAAAGTTATCAGAGCCTGAAATCCGTTGTTTTTGGATGTAAAAAACGCCAAGACTGGGTGGGAAATGCTGCCGCCCAAGGGAAACCAATTCCAATGTACCATTACTATGAGATCTCGTTATCCCTCTTATCAAATAACAGATCTCCCAGATAGATTCAACTTCTCCACTAGGTTAGGGTTAGACATCATCGACAGACTGGGGGAAAATTGGCTAGATCAGAACTACTTGCAGGGGAAACGTCGGTTGGAAATCAATGGCATTCAACCAATTATATATTCAAGCTGTAATAACTGGACGGAGATAGGCAATTTTAACTTTTCGTGGTACATTTATATAGTTACTCATGTACCCATTGCTCGTTGATTTCAACAAAAGGGGGGAGGAGAAAGGGTGGTTTCGTACAGAAACCATTCCCGAACACCTACCACCAACTACACCTTCCGTATTACTATATCGAATGTGCATGTTTGCGTATGCCCGGTACTATGGAGGTAGCAGGAACCATGGCTGGTTGGTGTAGCTTGAGGATAGGGGAGGACACGCAACAAGCGTGGCAGCTATAAGAGTACAAGGAAGCAGAGGAAGACTTCTAGTCAATGCCTCTAATAAGATTCAAGTCTATGTGATACTATGTTCTTCACTATCACTCGAAAAAACCCTCGGAAATCGGAAACGTCATCCAACCCCTCTCCGCGACGCCCCAAGTCTGCCCATTATCTCACAGTCCCTGATCCGTCCCACCACACCACCTCCCTCGGCCCCGCTTTCTCCTTCTCCATCTCCACCTCCCACTTCAACCTCTCCGTCTCCGCATCAATCTTCATTCTCTCACTTCTCGCCATCAGCGCCTCCGCGTTCAGCCTCTCCGTCTCCGCGTTCAGTCTCCCCGTCTCCGCATCAATCCTCATCTTCTCAATCATCGCCTCCGCCTTTACCCTCTCCGTCTCCGCCGCCGCCCTCTGCGCCTCCTGCTCAGCTTCTTTACCAGCCTTCTCCGTCTCCGCCTTTAACCGCTCCGTCTCCGCGTTCAGCCTCTCCGTCTCCGCGTCGATCCTCAGCTTATCGCTCCGTGCCATCATCGCCTCCGCCTTAAACCTCTCAGTCTCTGCAAGCCTCGCCGCGGCTTCCGCTGTCGTAACGAGCCCCAGCAGCGCGAGCCGGCAGTGCTCTGCGGGCAGGTGCGCATGCGTGTCGGCCGAGGAGACGCGCCCTAGTGTTTGGGTGGTGTGGCTGAGGACGGCGAGAATCTCGGACCTGGGGGGTATTAGTTTTGTTGTGGGTTGGGGATAGGGGGATAGGGGGGGGAAGCAAAGGGGGGGAGGGGGAGAAGTACGCCAGTGTCATTTTCGGTTTGTCGGAGGAACTGCGCGGAGTGGAGGGAGGATCTTAAACCGGTTGGAGATTGTAAGTGTGGTTGTTACCTGCGCTGCGCTTGGTTGGTCGGGGGTCTAACTTACGCGGCGTTGCAACGCTTTTCGTGATGATTGGCGCTTCAGCCGCGGTAGAGGGGGATGACTAAGTGCACGAGATATGTAGCAGTACCTGCATTTGTCTCAAATGGGGTTTTTAAACGCAATCGGGAGTGCATCCCACAAAATCTTGTGTAATTACAGACCACTACTGGAGCTGCGCTCCGCCGAATAACGCCTTTGAGTAAACGGTTGACTTTAGCAAATAACACTTATCCTTCAAGCACCGGAATGCCTCGTGTTCCCCAGTCGGAGAGCCCTCCTTTCTCGCTGCTCTAGTTTATCGGTTTTGGAATCGCTAAATCTCAAGGGGTAACTTGTTGATCTAGTAAAATGATGCTAGTCATAAAAGCGCTATCTCAAATTTGAGTGTGAAGTGCGTGGTGGATATTGCACATTAATCATAATTTTCAGTGGGAGCAAGAGTCGTTGATCGCATTATGGCCAGCCACTGGGTGTTGGATGTTGTTAACAATTACGATGTTATTAAACGTTTTGTTCTGATCCGTTGGCCAAGACCTACATTTCGCCAAGTGGGCGCCTTATCGAGCAAGATGATGGACGGGGCAACCCATTGGCCAAATGGGCATCTTGATGAATTGTTGATCCAATGATCAAGTGAAGCTCGACGCTGCGTCGCCAGCGGCCAAGTCAACGCTATATAATAATCCTTCCTTCCGCCGAATGTGCCGAAGAGTTCAGCTAATTCAATACTCCAAAGACAGTGCTGAATCACATAATTTACATTCTTTTCTGAGGCGTACACGTAGGATATCCCTAAGCTGTCGATGCTGATACCCTAATAAAAAGGAATGAGATTTTAAACAATTATTATTTGAGAAGGGGATAATGAGATCTATATATATTTTTTTGATGGGCCAGCATTTGCACTACAGATTAATGGATAGGCGCTCATAAAGTTCGGAACATCCATGTCTGCTTGATGACTGGAATAGGGCGATTAGACGAGCTTGTTAAATGGAGCCCCGTATTCATCATAATATGGGCCTTTTGAAAGGATCGCCCTATCCATCAATCTTGAGGAATTGTGCGCGCACTTCGCCAAATCGACGTCTTGGTCAACGGATCAGAACAGTTTCCTCAGGCAGTTTGGACGAGGTTGTTCTAGATGATGTGTACTTCCTCGGTTATGGCTAGCCTGTCCTCTGCTTTTGTCACTAGAAAGGAGACCCATCCATCTCTCCCTTTTTCATCCACATTCTCGGGTCCTTACCTTACCTCCAAGCAAGAATAAGGCTAGTAACTGATAGGGCACTGGGAGACACAAGACCTCTATAGGTAAGAGTATAGCAACAATTACAGCGTGCTCACCTTTGGCCTAGACGCAATTACGCTTCATGCGCTGAACCAGGATGAGTAAAATAAATAACGACTAAACAATACCAGGAGTACAGTGCCCGCTTAACCCTGAAGTAAACTTCGACGTTTCCACGCTGGTATATTATTTTAACCGCGTGCTCATTTCGAGAACAGCGAATCAGGTACCAACAGACCGAAAGTGACCCTCCCGCCGGGGCGCACTGCCGGTACGGGGTCATCAACTCCCCTCCAACCCCATTCAATTTCCGAGTCCGCCTCTACCCCCACCTCTGTGACTGCGTGAAAGCCTACATCGCCTCTCGAAGCGCTTTCAGGCCCCACTCTAACTCTTTCACGTTCATCTCTTCAACAGCCCTCACAAGACGAGACGCTGCTAGGGCCCTCTGTAAATCTATCCTGTTCATCTCTTCAAAGCCCTAGCTTCGCGGCCCCCCGCTCCTCCGCTCCCGCCTCCACCTTTCCCCGCATGCGCTCCGTCTTCGCCTGCGCCGCCGCCTCCACCTCCGCTTCCCACTTCAAGTGTACAAGATATGCAGCATTACCTGGATATATCTCTACTGGAGCTACGCCGCGCTTAGCAACGCCGGAAGCTCACGATTCATAGGTACTCCTCCTCTACGAATGTGAGAAAGTAGCCTGACTTCGAGCTCTTGTAGCCTAGTTTAGCTTCAGGTCCGCCGTACTCCCGCAAAGCAAACGCCTTCCTTTCCTTAATTTTGAAAAGCAATCGATGAAATTAAAAAGGAGAAAACAGCAGGATTTTGAATCTCATACACGAAATCCATATATGCATTCTTCGTGGGTTATACTCTTCAAGTAAAGTCGTGTAGAAACTTCACAAAGTGGGACGGATAGTTGCTTGACGGTGCACTCCGGGTCGAGTCTGTTCTGATCCGTTGACCAAGACGTCGATTTGGTCAAGTGCACGCACAATTCCTCAAGATTGATGGATAGGGCGATCCTTTCAAAAGGCCCATATTATGATGAATAGGGCGCTCCATCCAGTAAGCTTGTGTAATAGCTTTACTCCAGTCATCAAGTACACATAAATTGAGGTTCCGGACTGTGTCAGTAGCTGTACTCCATTAACCTATGTTGGTGTTCACTGAAGTATTGAAACTTACATCGCACGCTATATACAGAGCTAAGTGAGAGAAAGAACACTGTAAGCTTACACCATAGCATATATAGGTGGGTCCTCCGGATCACTACTACAAATAACTCGGGATTTAAGCTCAAAACTTGAAAATCGAGTGTGGCCACTACACTCTAATGGTGGTTTAAAAACTCTAATTCCGTTGTGTAAGAGACCAGAATCGATAACTTAGGGATAGATGACACATACTATATTTATGTGTCCACCTCCGACTTATCTGGTTAACTATTGGCTTTGGAGTATTGAACTCATTAGCACACCTGGAGGTAGACAATAGCATAAGCCCTATGTCGGGAATGGCTGCTTGATTGTTGGATCAATAATCCATCAAGACGCCCATTTGGCCAAGGGGTCGCCCTGTCCATCAACTTGCTGGATAGGGCGCACACTTGACCAAATGTACGTCTTGGTCAACGGATCAGAACAAGTCTCTGCATTCAAGCTTGAGCTGCTCAGTACGATGATGGCTCTGGTGTACCTGAGTGGTGAGGGTGGCATGGTCATTTAGCATTCGCTTAGGTATCTTTGAGTCATCATGCTGAGCAGGACCCTACAGTACAAGTTTCGAAAGATATTTTACCTGTCCTGGGCGCTGAAGTGCAAGAGTTTGGCTCTCCCAAATAGTGCCCTATATATCCCTCATGGGATATGGCTACAAAAGAATAGTGTGCCAGGAGGGATGAATTATCTTTACCCTCAGTAAGAGATAATCCTTACTGTTTCGCAGAATAAAAAATAAAAAATTCAGTATGGATTGAACCTGCATATATATATGAGGTTCCAGACACCTTATCCACACACTAGAAATCGGATATAGCTACTCCTAGAAGTGAGCCATTTTGTATGGTCGGTTAGGATGTTTACCTCTGCCTTCCGCCTGGAAGTAATCATAGCTTTACTCTAGCCAAATTAGGGAGCTGGAGCCGGCACAAGATTTACCTTCCTCTGGGGATAGATAAACAGGAAATCTTCAAAGAGGCTCATACTACCCCGTCTCACCCCCAGTTAACCGGCGGGGTAGATGATTTACCTACTCCCGAAAAATTGTACTGTAGGGAGGAGACTCGATGGTAAAGCAGGTATCCGTCCCCTACTCTGGGAAGGTGAGGAATATGACTGAAAAAAGCACCCATAATTCCCATCTCAAACGAGGAACTCTGCTGTCCCGACCTTTTGATTTCGCCGATTATCCCTCGAAATTAAGGAAAGGAAGACATCAGCTTTGCGAGAGATCTTGTAGAGTAGGACTACGGCCTATGAGCCGTGACTTGATTATAGCTACCAATTGAGATTCAGGGGGTTAATCCTAAGCGCAGCGCAGGTCTAGTACAATGATGACTCAAGGATAACTAAGCAAATGCTGAGCAATTATGCCCGCTCTGAAGCATATGGTAGTAAAAATTGCACTTGGTTTGTTTGTGCTCATTTCAGCGAGGCATGTCGATGGGAGTAGGGTTGTATTATGGCTAGTTCATTCTCCAATTTTGTCAATATGAAGAGAGAGCCATCGATCGCTCTCTCTCCTTCTAATCCGTTTCATCACAATACATCCGCTACGTTCTCGCTCCTTACCCTACCTCCGAGTAGGAGACACTGTAATGCCCGAAAACTAAGCCAGCGCCAATGACTGATAGGGCTGAGGGAGGGGGGATGACCTATTCCATACTCGGACGGCTCTTGTCCAGGAACATTCTGATACAGCGAGCGCCAGCCAAGAGTAGCTGGTAAGATTGGAAGCATCTTCTGGCTCTGGATACCATGCGCAGGTAAGTCTAGTTCCAATCCTTCCTTTATAAATAAGGAAACTCTAATCAAGACTAGTAGGCGTCTCGAGTTGTAATAGAGAATGGAGATTAACAGGCTTCAGGAGGTGGATAATTAGTTATCGAGATGAGTTGAGTAAGATAGAACATAATTCTTGTCGGACAGCGGTACTCTATACATCCCTTCCAGGCATGGATATACGTTCCGCAAATATGCTTGAATTACTTTGAACTAGCCAAAAACCCAAGAAAATACGCGAACACACACTGGGGTGCTTGGGGGGCGGCAGCAAATAACTTCAGGAAGACCCCCCCCCCCCTGGTTAAGTGCAAGCGTCCAGAGGTGCCGGCCGCTATATTCGAATGTTCCTGGATAAAAACCGTCCATTGATGGACCGGAGCAGGGATCTCTACAGGCCGCGAGGATACCAAGGATTCCGAGCTGACCTTTGGCCTAGACCCAATTACCCTTGAATGATTGACCTGAGGGAGAACGATGACGGCTAGAATAAATAACGACTAGTCGAGTGCCCATTAAACTCAACCACCTCTGAAATTTCCACCCTGACATGTCACCCTGGCGATGTACTGATTCCAGAACCAGCTCATTAAGCACCCACAAACAAAATCAAAACCTATTCCCGCCTAAAAGCGCTGCAAATACAAGAACACCAACTCCCCTCCAACCACCGTCAAACTACCATTCCGGCCCTACCCCTCGTCGCCGCTTCAATAATTCCAGCGCCTCGCGAGCTGCCGCCCGGTCTCTCTCCTTCCTAGTACTCTCGGTTTCCGCCTCTGCTTCCGCCCTCATCCGCTCTGCCTCCACTTCCGCCTGCACCTCCGCCGCCGCTTTCATTCGCTCGGCCCTAACCATCATCCACTCCCTCTCCGCCTTCAGCCTCTCTACATCAATCTTCATCTTCTCACTCCTCACCAACATTGCTTCCGCCTTTACCCTCTCGGTCTCGGCCACCGCCCTTTCACCCTCCTTACCCACCTTCTCCGTCTCCCCCTTGAACCTCTCCATCTCCTGCGCCGCCCGCTCTGTCTCCCTCACTACCTTATATGCCTCCATTTTCACCTTCTCCGTCTCCTGCGCCGCGCGCTCCGTCTCCCTCACAACCTTCTCCGCCTCCGCCTTCACCTTCTCTGTCTCCTGCGCCGCACGCTCTACCTCCCTACAGACCATCCCTGCCGCTGCCCGCAATCTGTCAACCTCAGAATGCGCGTAATCGGGGTCCGAACGGATCCGATCCGTCAGGACCGCTGCCTCAGCCCGCAATGCGTTTATACCCGTGATGCCCGTCGCCCCCTGTGCAGTGAGTGCCTCAATGTGTGCGACGTCGGCGAGCCGCGATGCGGTTTGCCCGGCGAGCTCGAGCTGCTTCATGGCCGATTTGCGCTCGTCGGCGGTGAGCGGCACGTGTTGGCCGGGGGAGGTGATTTGTTGGAGTGTTTGGGTGGTGTGGCTGAGTAGGGCGAGGATCTCTGAGCTGGTTTGAGGAGGATCAGTTTTGGTAGTGGAGGCCGGGGCTGCGAGATACGTACGCGAGTGTCATAATTATGTGTGGGGGGGTTTGGGCTTGCTAGGTGGGGTTGGGGTGTGGGGATGTTGGGTTGTGGGGCGAAAGTTCTCCTGCCTTCGCTTGGTTGGTTGGGGGTCTTCTTGAAATAGGACGCTCGACACGTTTCATAGTTCTGGAAGATTCTCATCATTTCATTATAGTATTTGTCATCGGCGTATGACTCACTTTCCCATTAGTCATCCTATTACTCACACGTCTATGACTCATTGTATTTCTTTTGTACTACCTTTCATTAGTATAAATACGGGGCATTCCCCCTTAGCTAGAACAATAACACGATCAATTACTTTACTTCTCCTACATACTTTCTCTAGGTTATGAGCCCGGAGACCACTCACGCTTATACACTCTTCACCATTTTTACCACAAAGTACACTTTCTCGTTTCACTTTCAATCATGTCTGAGAGGAGCATCAAAATTCCCGCACTCCCATGCAAGCTGGATGGTCAAGGCCATTACACTGTATGGAGGGACCTTGCTACCCGAATGTTGAAAGTTCACGATCTGTGGAACTTGGTCAATGGTTCGAGTAAGCGTCCCGTGTTGACAACCATCACCACTACTGTACCTACAACGGCACCACAAGCAACAGGAAGCGCAGCCGAGGCTGATGAAGACGAAGAAGAAACCTCCGACAATGCCGAAGAAATCAGCGATTGGGACAAGAAGGATAACCTTGCGGTCGTATTCCTCCAATCTAACATCGAATTTGAAGTTATTCTCACGCTGACACCGGCCGACACCGCTCACCACCTCTGGACTCAACTCGAGCACAGATTCGATCGGAAAACCGTCGCCTCCCTCCACTCGCTCCTCGCCAATGTCGTCACACTACAGTACACACCCGACAAAGGTATCAAGGAACATCTAACCCAGTTCAACACTCTTTGGTCATCTCTCCTCACTAGAACTAGTAACTCTACGGACAAGACCAAAGACCCACTCGGTTACCACCTTCACCAACTCGCATCTGTCTCAGAAGCGAAGGCATCCTTCCTACTCCTCTCACTCCGGCACGAATCCCTCGAATCAGTCGTTGACAACCTGCAAACCAAGCCCAACGTCACCTTCGATGACGTCTACGAAAAGCTGTTGGATCTGGACTCACGGCGCAACAACGATGGACAGGCGGCTGGAGAAGCCTACACAATCAGGCGAGGAAACCCAGGACACGGAAACAACAACAGAGTCAGGAGGCCACGTAACAACGAAACAGGAAATCGGGACGTCACATGCACCTGGTGCACCAAGAATGGAGAATATGCAAAAGGCCACACGCACAAAAATTGCCGGAAACTCAAAGCTTTCAGAGACAAGGAGAAGTCCGCTGCATCTGGCAACCTCAACGTCGCATCTGGTACTGCATTTCACACAAAACTCGACCTCTCTTGGATCCCCGATCTTTCTGGCCTTCCCGCACTCGAAGAAACCGATGTGTTCACAATGCCGGTTGACTTCGACTTCACCAACTTCTCAGATGACACCTCGGATATTACCATGGAAGATTACTTTGGCTTCATTGCAGGACCTTCCACCACCGATAACAAGGCGTGGATCTTCGACCCTGGTGCAACCAACCACATGACCGGAACGCTGGTTACCGACCCGACTCCCTATACTGGAACAGTTACTGTTGGAGGAGGTCGCAAACTCCAGATAACCGGAATTGGCAACGTCACCATCAACGGATCACATGGCCTGATCACTCTGCAGAATGTATTCTTGATCCCGAATTAGGCAATACCAACCTGATGTCTTGGTCTTGCATCGCTAAAAAGGGATTCACAACAATTGGGACGGAAGACGGCTTCACCATCTACAAACCGAATAGCAAGGAAATCATCGGGATCGCTAACGCAAATAGTACTGGTCTATATATTTTTGAAACCAAGGAACCCTGCGCACACCTCTCTGCCGCCACCAGCTTCTATGACTGGCACCAACGGCTCGGACATCTCCCCGCTTCCTCGCTCTCACGGCTTCGCACCATGGTCGCCGACCCCAAGTCTCTCCCCACATCTGGTCACATGGAAACATGCAATACATGTGAACTCGCTAAATCAACCAAGTCTCACCTCGCTCCCCTCACCGAACCACAATCCAAACAACCACTGGAACTAATACACTCAGATCTGAGCGGCAAGTTCTCGACTCCTTCTCTGGGCGGTTTCAGTTACTATATCACTTTCATCGACGATTACTCCAGGTACGCTCACCTCTACTTCCTCAAAAAGAAGTCAGATGCAGCAGCTGCCACAGAACGATACATCGCATACATGGAAAATCAATTGGACAAAACGGTTAAACGGTTTCGAAGCGACAACGGTGGCGAGTACATCTCCAATGACCTTCAACAATTTTTCGCCTCTAAAGGCATAAAGCATGAATTCACTGTACCTTACTCCCATGAGTCAAATGGAACAGCAGAACGCTTTAATAGAACTATAGCAACAATGGCACGATCCGCCTTGCTCGACCACAATCTCCCAAAAAATCTATGGGCAGAAGCGATCAACACCATGGTACACGTCAAAAATCGCCTCCCGCACAAATCACTCCCGAATATGACACCTTACGAAGCACTTACCGGAAAGAAACCCTTTATTGGGCATCTCCGATCCTTAGGTGAAACCATGTTCATACACATACCCGTCGAAGCACGACCAGCTGGAACAAAACTGGATGCAAGGGCCATAACGGGACAATTCTGCGGATACGGAGATTCTGAAAAAATCTGTCGCGTCTACATACCATCACAAAGGAAAGTAGTTCTCTCTCGTCATTTTAGGTTTAAAGGTACATCCGTAGGGGAAGAAATCGAAGTCAAAACAAAAACCGATACACCCCCTAAACCAAAACAAATCGAGATCAAACAAGAACCACCCTCACGTCCGTCAACACCAAAACAACGTAGGACATACGACGACGACCCAAGCGACGACGACATGATCAACCAACAGATAATGCGCGAAACCATGGAACATTACTCCGACACTGATTCGGAAGACCACGCAAGTATAGTGGGGGCCGGCTATACGAGGCCCGCCACTGAACGTACCCCGCATGATGATAATGAAACAGATACTGATCAACCGAGACGTAACCCAGCACGGGAACGGAAACCTCCGGTCAGATACGGACACAACATTCAGCATGACACTACCCTAACAGAACCAACAAACTACCACCAAGCAATCAACAGTCCCGACTCCGAAAAATGGCAGAATGCCATGAAAGTTGAACTCGACTCACTCGCAAGGAATAACACATGGAATCTGGTCAACACACCGGATCACCGCAAACTGGTTGAGTGCAAATGGGTATACAAAATCAAACTCGGGCCCGATGGCAACCCCATACGGTACAAAGCCCGACTAGTCGCAAAAGGTTTCTCACAGGTACCTGGTCAAGATTTCGATCAAACCTATGCCCCCGTCACCCGATATGAATCCATCAGACTACTCCTCGCTCGCTGCCTTCAAACCGGCGGTCAATGCGATCAGATGGACGTCACAAGCGCATTTCTATACGGCGAACTTGAGGAAGAAATCTACATGAAATCTCCTCCAGGCTACCCCACTCCCGGCAAAGCATGCAAACTAATCAAATGCATCTACGGCCTCAAACAATCATCAAGGGAATGGTATGCCCGCCTCTCAAAAGCGCTAATCAAAATCGGATTCAGAAAAGCAGACTTCGACCCTTGTGTCTTCATACACAAAACAGGGGAAGTTGTCATAGCAATATACGTAGACGATATCCTCATCTTCTACTGGTCCGTTGAACGCAAAAACCGCGTCAGCCTCCTCCTCCACTCTGAATTCGAAATGACGGAAACTGGCACAGCCAACTGGGCACTCGGAATCCACTTGATCCACACAAAAACAGGCATAATCCTATCACAGGAAGCCTATCTCAAGCGTGTACTTATCAAATACGGCTTCGACGAATCAAGACCTGTGGCAACACCTATCGACAACAACGTCCACCTCCAAAAAGGAACGGAAGCTGAAAAAATCGACGATCCAACAACTTATCAGTCGATAATTGGTTCACTCATGTACGCAGTCATCGGCACTAGACCCGACCTCGCCTACACCGTCACCATGCTCTCGCAATTTTCTTCCTGTCCCACTAAGGCTCATCTAGCTGCAGTCCATCGCGTCCTCCGTTATCTCAAAGGTACCCTCGATTGGTCACTCTTTTACGCCAAAACGCGACCAACTGCACTCATCGGCTATAGCGACGCAAGCTATGCCTCCGACATCGACGATCGCCGTTCATTCACCGGCCACTGCTTCATGCTAGGGGAAGCCCTCATCTCCTGGCGCTCTTATAAGCAACGATCTGTCGCCACTTCTACAACTGAAGCGGAATACATGGCCCTCTCGGACACCAGTCGACAACTGATCTGGTTAAGGAATGCAATCCACGAGCTGGAACGAAAACCAAATCTCTCTTTCATTCTTCGAGGCGATAACAACGGTTCTCTCTCCTTGGTTAAAAATCCTGTCTTTCATAAAAGGTCTAAACATATTGACGTACATTTTCATTTTGTTCGGGAACGGTTTGAGGATGAATTATTTGAACTGGAATATATTTCTACGAACGAGAACGTGGCGGATTTACTTACTAAAGGATTGGATAAAGGCAAACATGTTTTATTTTCTTCTACTATTCACTGTGGCTCACGAGGGGAAGTCTTGAAATAGGACGCTCGACACGTTTCATAGTTCTGGAAGATTCTCATCATTTCATTATAGTATTTGTCATCGGCGTATGACTCACTTTCCATTAGTCATC